CAACTGCCTCGTTCCTTTATGACCTGGGATACATTGCAGTGTTAGACTATTTGAAGACCCAATTTTTTATGGTAGTTAGGTAGTTCCAGACAAGTTTAGAGTTGATATCATAGGCTTGGGGGCTATTAGGCCTCCCTGACTGTCCAAAGTATTGTTTAATGTCATTAAATCCATTACTGTTCGTGGTCCGATTGACCAATTATTATTTTTCAATTAATTAATATTTATGAAAGGTATTGGTCGAGATAAAAAAGTCAATGTCACGAGCGGGATTCGAACCCAAGATCTTCGGCTAAATACGCCACTGCTCTACCACTTAAGCTATCGAAACTTCGATCCGCTCAGACAACTTCCTTCCCATCTCAACCTCACCTCTCGAATTTTCCCTCCTTTTTGCCAATTTTCAAATGCCGTGTAATCTATTTGATTCTCGGCGACAAATGAAATGGCCACGGAGGGCTTTCGTGAATATATACTTCAGTTTAATTATTAAATCCATTACTGATCGTGGTCCGATTGACAAATTAACATTTTTCAATTAATTAATATCTATGAAAGGTATTGGTCGAGATAAAAAAGTCAGTGTTGAGATGGGAAGTTGGTGTCCGAGTGGATGGAAGTCACGATAGCTCAAGTAGTAGAGCAGCGGCGTATTGAGCCGAAGGTCGTGGGTTCGAATCCCGCTAGTGACACTGACTATTTTATCTAGACCAATACCTTTCATAAATATTAATTAATTGAAAAATTATTAAAAGTGTTAGATGTATCGACCACTTTTTCACTAACGAATAATCTAGATCGCTGTATGGTCAAGTGGGTGGAAAAACAAATTCAATTGTTATCTGCCGAGTTTACGACCCATTTTAAGGTCATCATCAGAGCAAAACAGACGTAAAGATGTCTGTATTCAGACAAATTGACACAATTTAATTTTTAATAAATGGTGTCAAATTTCTTTGCACATAGTTCCAGCACTGCCAAGGACTGTAACTCTATTAAGATGTATATTATTAGTTAGCAGTTCGGCTTGAAATATATTTGTACTGGATCCGAGGCCATGTGGTGGTCATAGTTGATCCCATTTAGCCCATGCCAGTAATCATCTTTGAGCCGCCCATATACCATAGAATACCTCACGGTTTATCTTACTTTATTTTTCCAATTAGTTCTCTTTTCAATAATCGTTTTGAATTGTTTATCAAAGTTTACCATTTTCTCTGGTAAATCAGAAATGGTTTTAGCGATGTCCGTTATTTTAACTTTGTAGATTTCGGTATAACTAGTACTTATAAGATCACTGTTCTTTCTATTCTTTCCACTGTTTTTATGAATTCTCAGTTCCTCGATCGCCATCATCATTTTCAGATAAACAGGGTGAGTTGACATTTTGTTTAGAGAGGGTAAAAACACTCCCTAAAACATGTGTTTTCAATACACCTAACATAATTTAGACAAAATCGGTTAAAGAGTGAAATGTTTCTCGTAAGTATATATTTTGTACATTATCTAAAGTGCGTTTGTTTCGAGTTCTTTTTAAGTATAAGAGAAAGAATGGAATATGTTTATATTTTTTTCATATTGAAACATGCGTTTAAACCTTTAGAATATTTTGAAACAATGACTTATGTGGTAAGACTATTGTAAAATTACATGAACCGTTATGGAATTTGAAAACATTATATTAGTTACTTTTTGAGATTGGTCGTTTTCAATCATTTCAGTAGCATACGTGTTATTCCGTCAGTTGAGTCTTTTTATTATGTGTCAAAGATAACAAACCAAACGGGGTAGGCATATCAGAATGATAGAAAGCACCAACATACAGGTTCATCAGCCCACAAACCAAGAAATCTCACAGTGAAAGTACTATACTTGTCAGGTTAACCTACGACCAGGAAACAGTAAATATTTCTGCGATATATATTCACAGTCCAAGGTGAGGTTTTTCTCTTTCTACCCACAGGAACTGCCGATAGATTCGTCTCTATCTTCTTCAGATAGCAGATTCCAAGATACTTAAGTCATATTGATTTAACGATAATGTATTCCAGTAATATATATACATATTCTTCAGAATATCTTTAGAGTTCTTTCTGTCAATATTGTCAGCATTAGATGACTTCCCAGTTGGACTAGCAAAATTTCTTCACCATTCCTACTTCGTGAAGGTGTAAGATATTCGCAGATATTTCAGCAACGTATGTCCACAAAATCTAGATCTGACTTCTTTCTGTTGATCATTATTATCACCTTATGGTAATTCTACCACTTAACCTGCTCGTAATAGTCAGTATGGAAAAAATAGATTTCTCCCACTCACTGAAACTAGTATGTAAGTTTTCGGAAAAGAGCAATTCTCATTCTTGGCAGCATTTACGCTAGTTCCATCTATCTTCCGATCCTGCTGCTTCTCTTTTCGTAATAACAGTAATATTCCTGTGGTAATATCACCTAGTTCCCCCGTAAAATGTAATATTGTTTCCACTTCGTAAGTCAGTATGTGAGTCACTTTATGTCTGTACCAGTTTGTTCTACAGCAATAAAACTGCACCTTGGTCGTTAGTTTGTCTAGTCTCGCAGTTTGGTCTGTTAGAGAGGTTTAGGATTTCGCGTTTTTCAGTGGTCTGCGTGTTATTCTCTCAGTTGGGTCTTTTTGGATTACGCGCCATCCATAACCATCCAAACCATAACCATCCCTAAACGCCCAACCGTACAGTGGGATGATTATAAAGCGCCAACTTACACCTGATGAATCTTCATCACCCTACAAACCTAAACAAGAAATCTCAAAACTGAAAGCAGTATGCCTGTCAGGTTAGCCATTAGTAAATATTCATTCTTCACAAGCGGAGATGATTATGCATCCACGTACCAACAGAAACTGCAGGGAAATTCGATAAATTCCTCTCTGTCATCTTCAGATGGTACTACTTACTGGCAGATTCTTGAAAATTCCAAAGTCTGTTTAAATTAGAGACTTAGGTAGCAGCAACATATTTTCTGCAAACTATCGACAGATTTCTTACTGATGATCGTCTTTGTCTTCGTTTAACCCTACTTCTTCCCTGGCTAGTCAAAATTCTAATGGTGTTCCTACTTCAGGAAAGCAGTACCATAGCCATTTTAAGCTTAAAACATGAAACTAATATTGTAGCAATGTATGTTCACAGTTCACGGTTCAAGGTAATGTGAATGTTTGCTCTTCCGACTCAATCAGCTGTAGATTCATCTTTATACCTCACTGCCTAATAGGAGACTGGTTAAAATTCTAATATTGGTTGATTGTAACTTGTGAAAGTAGTGAGTTTAAGCAAAAATTTAGATGCGATTGGTATTCCAGCAACATATTTTTACATAATGCACGATAGACTTATTTCCATTGAACATTACTAACATTATCATAGCTAGCTCATCTAGTCTGAATTCTTTGTGAAAGTAGTATGCTCGTCAGTTTAGTCTAGTACAATGTGTGGTGTTTAGTGACCGTTAGTTAATGATAATTTGAAGATCGTGAGATGCGGTCTGGTGTGTCGTAGATTTAGAAAAACATTTTTTTTATCATACCAGCGTTTCGATCTTTATTGAGATCATCTTCAATCTGTTCATAGAATCCCATGTTCTTCGTTCTTCTCGTGTAGAAATGTGTGGTTTTTAGTGACCGTTAGTTAATGATCATTTGGAGATCGTGAGTTGCGGTCTGGAGTGACGTAGGTTTAGCAAAACATTTTCTTTATCGTACCAACGTTTCGATCTTTATTGAGGTCATCTTCAGTGCTCAAAGTGTTTGTTTTCTGTGTAGTTGTAACATTCTTGTGTGTCGTGTTGAGAGTGCCCTCGCTACACGACACACAAGAATGACACAGCTACACAGTAAACAAACACTTTGAGCCCTGAAGATGATCTCAATAAAGATCGAAACGTTGCCACGATAAAGAAAATGTTTTTCTGAAACCTACATCACACCAGACCGCATCTCACCATCTTCAAATTATCTAATACAATATTTTGAATTACAAGATAATGTTTTTCTCCTCATCCCAGCCTGATTTTCAGGTAGTTCACTAGTTAACTATTTGTATGTTCGAAAAAATATTATGTACGATGAGTAGGGTCCGTTGAATTCTAGGCGTTATGAACATTTCAGCCTCCATCGCAGTTTGCAAAACAAAACCCACTCAACCACTGACCCTTAACTACATTCTTTCCTATTTACATACCATTCACTCAGATTAGTTGAGTACTAGATATTCCTCTGTCACCCTCCACACACATTATTGAACTATTACTGAGAGTCAATGGGCTCAATATTCGGCCCACTCAAATTACACATTCACGCTAATAAACACATTCACTCGCCACACTAGGACACAACAATACATGCATTACTACTAAATACAACAAAACAACCTACTTTCCTCCAAAAATTAGAACAGATGAGCGAAGTACTTGCTGCCGAGGTGAAGCACAATTCTCATTTTAGGTGGCATTCCTTAACGTTCTTTATAATGAGCTAAGGAATGGCACCCTTCAATCAGTGAGACACATAGAGCAATCCTTTCTCTTCATGCCGGCCACATACGCGGGTCTTGGCCCACAAGTGTCCATGTGTCAACCTCGCATGACCTATTCTTAATCGTATGAAGATGATCCCTACGAGGGCCCAATTATCGACAGTGCTCATAAGTGATATAGTTGTATATTATTCAAGTTGGACGATAGCTCTTTGAGTGTGTCCAAGTGTATATTATATTTAAACGTGGATAATGGCTACTGCTGGCATATTGGGCTGCATATTTTATCGATGTCCTGATGGTTCTCGTGCCAAAAAGGGACCATTTTTGCATTTCATTTCATCCAATTTTCTTTAGCTTACATTCCAAAACATGAAATGCTGTTTGTTTGCATGGTTTACTACTATTACGGAAACCATGATCAACAAAGGACTTCAACAAATCACAGGAGTGTAATCAATGAAGTCTCTCATTTCCTAACTAATGGAACTTTCACACTTATCTTATATTCATTTGTTTATCCTTCTGTAAAACATTTGATGATTTGAACTATTTTTTTAGTTGACTATTTTATAGTTTCCAGCAAGCCTTCCAGCAAATTTTTCGACCTTCTGCATGTAGACTTCTTTCTGTTGATGTCATCATGTTATCTTCAGATGTCTTTTTCTCTGGCTCCTCAAAAATGTTGTTCCTGCTTCGTGAAAGTAGAGTAGCATTTTATGATTAGGACTGGAACTAAAAAGTATCCAGATGATATATTAATCTTCATATTTCAAGGTGCGTTATACTCCACTTCCCACCAGACCTGCGAGTATCTTCGGATGACACCACCCGATAGTAGAGCCCTCACCATTCCAAAATCGATTGCTTCTACTCATTTAAAATATAATTTTAGACATTTTGGAAAAAAAAGGGCCTAGGAACAATAGGCATTCCAGCAAATCACGTTCGCCAAATCCTGTATAGACCTGAAAAGATATGGGTTGATCGTTACTCTCGTTTCCTAACTAATAAACTTAAACTTTCTCACTTATCCTGTTTGAAGAATCGTTTCATTTTCTTTCCACAGCTGGTTCACTGGTTCACTGGTCCAGGATAGTTCACTTGGATTAGGTAAAAGCTAAAAATAGCAGTTTATTACAGTAAAAGAGTCTACCTTTCTCAATTTTGTCAAATTGTCAATCCTGAATAGTAAAATTATATGGACTGCTAGATCTTTTAATAAACTTTGCCTTAATTATACTTATGTTTCACAAACCTACCACTGAAGATGGCGAAAAGCCGTCCGACAGATCCAAAGCGGCGTAGTCAACATGATCGGAAACGACCAAAACACAGGTCCACCACCCCAGCAGACCTCAAGAAGTAATCTAGCAAAACATTAAGCACTGGGAAAGTGTATAAATTGACTAGTGCTGTTGAAGAGGAATCAACAGGTACTTTTGCCGTTGGATCGTCAGAGATCAAATTCACGAGTTTTACCTGTTGACGCCCCTGTCCAATATTAGCTTTGGCCTTGGTTCCCTTTAAGTCCAGTGTCATCTTTGTCAAGATCATTCATCTGAGGACTGGAAGTCGAGGAGCGGTCGTAAAAGACAAATAAGATTGGTCGCTGCTTTATGACAGTGTTTTATAACTCCTGTCTTTTCGCGTTATGAATATGAGATCGTCGTAGTTTGGAGTGGGAAAAAAAGGGGAATTATCTACCGAGATAAATCCCCCTTACCCCTTTCCAGAATTAACCGATCGGTAGGCCCCGCCAGGAAGGGGATCGCGCATGCACACGCCTCTCCAGAGCCCACGAGTTTGTCTCCAGTCTTCTGCAGGCCGGCGCAGCGTGTCGAACATCCCCCTTTTTTTATTTTGTAAACATGTAATTTACCTCCAGCCCATTTCATTGGCTTTTCCCTTTTTCAACGAGATTTCCGGTAGGAGAGATGGATTACAAAAACGTTCCCGTCGGACCAGGTGAGGAGCGTTTGTAAAGCCGGTGTACATTGTTTATTTCGAATATTTTCCACTCGGACAGCTTGAAAAATTATTAACACAGCCTCAAATCTTGTTTAATGAAGAATTTAATAGGCGATGCCCGTTGTCATCAAATGTTTTAAAATAAAACAAATATGGATGTTTAAATATGTCACTAAAATGATCTTCATTAAATACAAAACAAGTTTTATCGTTATTGAGCCTGTAATGGGTTCACGAATTGTTAATAAAAAGAGATGTAAATATAAAGATCTTAACATTCCTTATTTAGATATAAATATTATTTGAACAGCTGTCAGCCTTATCGTTGGTGTAAGGTATGCTCGTATGTTTGTATTTGCTGTCCGCAAAAACCCACCCAACTTTATGATTTAAACAAATAGCCATTTATGCATACGTACCCACAGATAACGATAAATTTACAGTGTTGTCAGTTATAATCAACTCATGTCAAATTTAGATTCGTATTTACATCGAGTCAGCATAACATAAAATTACAATTTTAATTTTATATCATGACTTTACGACTGCTTTTATAACGTTAATATTCAAAACGACAACACTCGCAATTATTTAACAAGAGATTTTTTATTTTAAAAAAAGTTTTCTTGAGTACAGTCAACGAATCTAAATGAGAAAGAGCGAGTGAGACATAGAAAAAGTGTGTGCGTGTGTGCGTGTGTGTGTGTGTGTGTGTGTGTGTGTGTGTGTGTGTGTGTGTGTGTGTGTGTGTGTGTGTGTGTGTGTGTGTGTGTGTGTGTGGTGAGAGATAGATAAAGAGAAAGAGAGTGAGAGAAATTTTATAAAGAAACAAAGAAAGTGAGAAAGAGAGAGGAGGAGAGTGAGAGAGAGAAATAAAGAAATAAAGTTAGAAAGAGAAAGAAAACGAGAGAGAGAGAGAAATAAAGAAACAAGGAAAGAAAGTTAGAAAGAGAAAGAAAAGGAGAGAGAGAAATAAAGAAACAAAGAAAGAAAGTTAGAAAGATAAAGAGAGTGTGAGAGAGAGAATATTTGAGAAACAAAGAAAGAAAGTTAACAAGAAAGAGAGAAAGAGAAATAAAGAAAGAAAGAAAGAAAGAGATAAAGAAGAAGAAAGAGAAAGGGAACCAATGGGGGAGAGAGAAAAAAAGTAGAAAATAGTGAGAGATTATGAAAGAAAGGCAAAAAAAGTATATGGGAGTAAGAGAGTTCAGAAAAAAGAAGAGGTAGGTAAAAGTAACTGTAGCATTGAGAAAAAGGAGTAAATGAGAAAGAGATTGATTGATGGTTTTATTTAACCATGCCAAGTTATGTCTCTTTGACCTTTGTTACACTTAACGTGAGTTATACAGTTTACATTATACTTATTTTCAGTAGACTCCTTTGGTCTTAACACTGTATTTTACAATTAAAATAATGAAGAGAATAAAAAATCTTTTCTTTTTTTTGTAACAATTTAGGTTTTTGTTCTAACTTTATAAATTTGTAGGACATAAGTATCAATAAAACAAAACCAAAACGTAAAAAAATTAAATGTAAAAAGACAGAGAGAGAGAGAGAGAGAGAGAGAGAGAGAGAGAGAGAGAAAACGGGAGTGATAGGGAGTTAGAGGGTGAATGAGAGGGCGTAATGAAAGAAAGGCAAAAAGAGTAGGTGAGAGGGAAAGAGTAAAAGAGTAGAGAAGAAAGAGGGAATGAAAGAGGAAGAAAGTCTGAAAGTGAGAAAACAAAGAGAAAAAAAGAGAAAGTGAGAGAATGATAGAAAGAAAGAGATCTCTAAAAAAAAGAGAAATAGTACTTATGTGTCAAAGATAAAGTAAGAGGGATTTTAGAATAAGAGTGTGATGCTTATTTGTTTGTGAGTGTATGTGTGTGCGTGTGTGCGTGCGCGCGCGTGCATGCGTGCAGAAATAAAGAGAAGTACCAAAGAGAGTGGGAGAGCGTTAGTGTGAAAGAGAATGAATGCGATTTTGTTTAATGTCGCAGAATTTGGTTCAATACTGACCTCTCTTGCATTCAACGAGAAAAAAAAAGAGAGAGAGAGAGAGAGAGAGAGAGAGAGAGAGAGAGAGAGAAAGAAAGAGAGAGTGTGATTGAGAAAGAACAATATTATCGTATTGTCGTCATTGTATTTATAGGAAAAATATCTCTTTCGATAACATGGGAAATCGCAATACTCTCAATTATATATATCAAACACTAATTTTCTTGTTGAAAACACACAGTCATAGAATAATTATAAATCAGCGTCCAAAATTTCACAGAATCAACTTCATTATAAACAATAAGAAAACATCGGATTTTTTGACTATTATTTGACGACATTTTCTAGACTAGATTTAAATTAAATCCTTGACCTTTGCCAGTAACGGTTTTTCGTTGACAATGATGCTATTTAAAAACAGGTTTTTTGGCGGCAAATCCACCTTTGAGGCAAGGAAGACATTCTGTATCGTAACGAACCGAATGTTGCCACACAAATTTGTCGTCGTTTGATCGACAATTTTCCCCGCGCTTTAACAAAATTACACTCCACCATGAGTTATGGGTAAACACTGAAACGCTATCTTTACAACGACTACATGCAAAAGCTCACCAAAGTGATATTTTTGAAGTGTGCAAACAGATTTTAAAATTCTAACGCTCCACGAGACGCTCCTTTAACAAACAATACTAGAGCCAAAAAGCTAAAAAGAATAATAATGTACACAAATTGAGTCATCGGCTTTCTAACTCTCCAAAAAATATGTTGACATTCGAAAATTAATCATTTTTTGTCAATTTCCTTATCGATACATTAAGGAAGGAGATAAGTGATTGCAAGATAGCACTCCTGATATCTGAAAAAACTGCTTGCACAATGTACTGCTTTCAAGTAAATTTATTCACACGATGAAACCAGAAGCTCTATTATGCTTTATTAAGTTGAACAAATACATTCACTAACTGATAGAAATTGATAAAGATAGGTAGAAAGAGAGAGAGAGAGAATGAGTGCGTGTGAGAGTGAGGGGAGAGGCAGATAATTTTATCAAAAAGAGGAGAATTTTTCGAGAAAAAAAATCTTCTGAAATAAAAAGAGACAGATCGAGAAATTTATTTATTTATTGACTGATTAACGATTTATTTATTAAAATACACTCAAAAGTTAGGCCTCTATGACCTTTCTTACACTTAACGTGTAATTACAATCGTAAAATTTGTTTATTTTCGCAATAGACATAAAACAGAAATAACAAATTATTATAAAATCAACAATGAAGTGAATGAATAAAGTTCTATTTTTGTAGAAAGCACATTATTGCTGAGTAACAAAATTAGATATAGATTTTTCGTAAGATTCTTAAAAACTAGACTAGGACCTTCTAGAATTGGAACAGAATTTTATGATTCAAAAATGAAATAAAACACTAATAAAATGATTATTAACGTTAAATTTTTTAAATCATAATTTAACACGTAAATGTATGTATAATAAAAACAGAATAATAAAAGAATATAAGTATATGATGTAACGTTAACTACGTCAATATTAAATAAGGTAAATACTAATTTTTAGTATTATATTCAACATATTTATTTAGTAAGAATACTTTAAATAATAAATATCCTGAATAACTGAAAAAAATGAATTCTTTAAATTTTACTTTGAATGATTTTATGCTTTTTATTTGAACTATAGTATGTTTCGGTATTGATTTAAAGATTTTTGAAGCTTTTCTTTTAAATGAATTACTAAACGTTTTTCTTCTGTGTTTTGGTAGATGAATTAAGTAATTAGCTGTTCTTAATATTATGGATATTGCATTGAAATTTAAAATTATGAAACATGTAGGAAGGGTTTTTGGTTTGTTGTATTTTGTAAAAAAAGGTTGCTATTGAATAGATTTATAGGTCTTTAATTTTTAACATTTTGAATACCAAAAATTTATCATATATTCTAGAATCATATTTTAGGTTAAGGATATAACCGATGTGCGTATTTTGTCCTTTTTGAAGTTTATTTTCTAAAGTATAGTTGAGATCACTCGATATATGTCATTTCTAAAAAATGAATTAGTTTTAAGGTGATTTCAGATTTTTTGTAGGGTAATAATTTTTTTATAGTGTACATATTTGTTTATATTTTTTTATTTAATTTGTGGTTCCCATGATTGTTAGTTATAGTGATGCTAAGATAATCGACACTGTTTTCAAAAGGGAGGTTTTCACTATCAATAGTGACACTTGAGATATTTGTAAGCTTTATTCTGTTAATGAGCTAAGAGTGGCCAATTATATTTTTATGGGTTAATTTTTAGATCGTTTGAAATTCCCCACAGAGAGGGATGGTATGAGAGCTAGGGAGAGAGAGAGATAGTGAGGGAGAGAGAATGGTAATGAGAATACTAGGAAGCGTGCTCCCCAGGCAACATTATTATTTTATTACCATTAGAGAGAGAGAGAGAGAGAGAGAGAGAGAGAGAGAGAGAGAGAGAGAGAGAGAGAGAGAGAGAGAGAGAGAGAGAGAGAGNAGAGAGAGAGAGAGAGTGAGAAAGGCATTTTTTATTTGATTTGATAAACGACTTATTTTTACAAACCTCGCAGAGTTAGGTCAATTTGGCATTTCTTACACTCAGCGAAAGACAAATAATTTACATTTTGGACTAGCATACGTGCGCCTCAAAATGATATATGTATATAATAATAACAACAAAACAATAAAAATATAAAATTTAATCTGAATGTGGAACAGTAATAATAACTAAATAAAAAAAATTACATTACTAATTAAGTGACAATTACAATACTAATAAACTAAATTACAAATTAATAAATAAAGAAAAGTATATAATTACAACATTTACTAACAATGTTATAGATTACATACACATAAAATTAAATTTTCATCAAATTATTCAAAAATGTAATAAATCTATTAAGAAACAAATCCTGAAAAGAATTTACGAATTTGTGAAAAATACAATAATCTATAATTGTTAGAATAGTTGAAAGTTATTACAGACAGGAGAGGGGGGGGAAACAACTTTATTTTATCCTCTGGACGTCATCGTATTGATGGTTAAAAAATCAATTCTAACATCTGGCTCAGCATACGTCAAGATGTCCCCGAAGAATCTGCACAATAATCAATTCTTCCACTTTTCATATTAACCCTCATGGTTATTAATTCGCAACGTCTGTGTTTAAATTTGCCGACAAGCAGTTCTTTTGTCGACGAACCGAGTTTACACCAGTGCCGAGTCAACGGTGGATTAGGTTGTTGAAGTGGAGCTTCGTTTCACTCTCGAACAAGTTGAATAATACAATGGATGAGAAGTTCTTCCTTTTGTTTTCAGACTGAACTCACAATCAGACAATTGTTACAATCCGCCGCCCCTTTCGAACAAATATTAAATCGTTGCCAACAAAAGTGTTACTCTTGAAACGGAATAAATCAGCGCTAAGTGTTAATTTCATAACAAGAAAGGTAACTTTGTTTTCGAGTTTTGTTTTGTGGGTGTTACCGATTTATTCGGGGACTTTTTTTCTCTTTTTTTCCGCCATAGTCCAATAAAATCTCTTCTTTGTGTGAATTTACCATTGTTCTTTTATTATCGAGCCATTATTCATTAAAAACTTTCTATTATTACTATACATTTCAATTTGCTACTCCAATTATACTACTACAATTATAACTCATTCTAATAATATATTATATATATAATGAGTATTGTAAGTTTTGAGCACGTTGGCTCAAGAATTTAACCAAATTCACCAACCACCCCCACCAGGGTTAGAAAGTAAAAAATTAATTAATTTAAAAAAACAATATATAAATATCTTCTTTAAAATCCTTTATACAACATAAATGAATTTTTTAACTATAGTTTTAATATGAAAAATTTTAAAAATTTGACAATGTGGATATTTATTATGTGATATACTACACAATAAATTACTTATTTACAAAAATTTCAATATAACTTATCTCTTCCCCTCTCTCACTCTCTCTCTTTCTCTCTACCTCACACTATCTCTCGCTCCTTTTTTAAAAAAATATAGTTCATTCTCACAGTAAGTTGTTTTGCAACGTCCGGATTTCGAGCCCTTTAGCTCATCATCAGGTTGAAGGATTTCTACAACCACGTCTCTCGACATGAACTGCAAAAGTCCTTCAACCTGATGATGAGCTAAAGGGCTCGAAATCCGGACGTTGCAAAACAACTTACTGTGAGTTGGAACTATCTTTTAAAAAAAAAAGGATTGAACACCATGCTCACTCCATCATTCACCATTTCTACTCTCTCTCTCTCTCTCTCTCTCTCTCTCTCTCTCTCTCTCACTCTCTCTCTCCTCTCTCTCTCCTCTCTCTCTCCTCTCTCTCTCTCTCTTTTGTCTCAAAAGATTCTCTCTCTCGCTCTTTCTCTTCCTTTTTCTTTCTCTCTCTCTCTCACTTCACTTTGCGTGGTTAAATAAAACCATCAACCAATCAATAAATCTCGATCTATCTCTCAGAATTTTTTTTCTCTTTCTCGAAAAATCCTCCTCTTTTTCACAAAATTATCCCTCTCATTCTCTCTATCAATCTCTCACTCAGTCACTCACTCAATCAGTTATCTATGCAACTTTTTGTCCTATTGATTTGTTCTATCTGACTATTCTATATATCTTGCTGTTTACCTTCTTTTTCTCTTCTGACCATCTCTCTTTTTCTCTCTTTACTGTTCTGCCTTATTAATATTAGCTCATGTTTTACAATGTTCACATGGTAAATGTTTATTCGTGTTCGTAACGTGCAGTACGAATAGTTTTAAAGTAGCACACCATATCGGAATTGGGAACAATATTCGAAGCGATGAAGTACATCTGGATTGATACGTTTTCCGTCCCTGATAACCGTTTTATTTATAACAGTAACGACCTGATCAATTTGCCTAAAATCGAGCGTAACCCGCCCCCGGTCGCCAAACCGTCTCTGAGTTACCCAGCTAACTTGGCAGGAAAATTCAATAAAACTTGCTCCGATGGCTGGGAAGTTCGTAAATAAGACCTCAAACTTTACAACAAATCTTCCCCCTCGGCGGAAATGTCTATTTGCGAAGTCTCCAAAATTGAACAGGCGATCAATATTCACCTTTTGAAAAAAGCAGTAACATCCGGGGAAATGGCTGATGTAAAATCCTTTTGCAATGAGGGTTTTGTCTTATCGAAATCATATTTAAATATATTTTTCCAAGACGTTTCAAATGATACAAGGAAGAACACTGTCAAAGAAATGCTGGGCAAAGTGTGAAGAATCGTAGTTATTTTTTGTTATTGTGGCTTTTTCATTCTCCATGATAATCTTAATATCCTTCGGTCAGAAGACTTGCGTGGTTTCGCTTATTCAGTAATTGATCTGGTTCTTGTCCTGTGGGTTTGTCATTTTTATGGGATGGGTAAATTATTGTTTCGACGCTTCATTTGCGTTAATACTGTCTTTTGTACGTTGTCAACTCTGTTCATTTTTAACTTCTTATTCTTCCCCCTACCTACTATTTCATCCTGCGTCTTTTATGTCGGATCGCCGGTTTAAGATGAGAATTGCCTCAAAATTTTCAGACAGACCATCTAGGCCGGCGTTTCCCAAGGGAGTATCCCAGTACCGATTCTCTACACAATCTACACCTCTGACACACCGCATCACGACCTTCGCGGCTGACACTACTCACATCCTGATATCCTTGCAGCAACAGCACCCAAGACCACGTAGACTCATTTCGACTGATGCATCAAGCTAAATGAACAAAAAAGCCGGCCGTGATGCTCACACTACAAGAAATATCCCAAAAGTGCACATACACAGTAAGGAGATCCCCCATCCAACCAAATCCAGTACCTCGGGTTCTAATTGGAACAGCAGACAGAATAAACAATTAGACACGAACTGAACCGAAGATACGTATAACTTAGACGCCTACTTGGATCCAAATCCACAATGAGTCCACACGACAAACTAATATTGTACAAGACACTAATTAGACCGATTAGGACTTACAGAGTTCTGTGGGGTTCAGCACAGCTATCCAAAGAATCTAATCCTTTCAATCAAACGACGCATCCTCAACCAAACCACAATGACCTAGACATCCCATTCGGATCCAAACACGATTCCAAAACTTCCACTCCTTTCACACCAACCCTTTTCCATCCTAACAATCCTCGTCGCCGCCTAAAAGGGCACACCTCGTGACCTCCTATCTCAACCCTTCAACCTCGACCTACAGTTCCGGCCATGGCCGGTTCCTCTCTCTCATCCACAACAACAAATCGTTGGATCGTCGGTGGCCGCAACGGTTTAGGCGTTGACACGGTGCTCATCACTGTATGGTAAAGGTCGAGAGATCCAGCGGCTCTGCATTCGATCCCGACAAATGGGCTTTTTTCAAAAACACCGGCACCCTGAGGGTTGATATGGCCTCTGCTGTTCCGAACCCTCGAAAAAAAAATTGTTAAATGTGTAAATTTTTGTACTATATCTACAAAATTCATATCCTTTTTTTTAGATTTGTCCTATTCGGACTATATTTTCAAAAGGACTATTTTTTCTATTACTTTTGTTAAGTAGTTTCTCAACATACTTGCATAATATGTTTTCAATTGGTTTAAGTTTTCTGGTCAATCATATTACATTTTTTTTAGTATATGGTTTATCAAGAGATAGAAATACAATACTGATTGGAAGAGACAAAATCATGTTGACACTCAACCCTGTCTGTCAATAATGGAACAGGACAAATAGTTAAAGCTTATCTATGAATAAACATGAGACCCTTTAATCTAATTGTCTCACACACATAAAAAAATATGTTTGTGCTCTTCTTTTCGTTCCTTGACCTCTTAGCTCTTTGAGCTGTTCTGTAGTTTCTGAATCTTCTGGACCCCCCGTTGTTCTAATTAGGTGGAAATACACCTAGCTATGTGGAATTCTATGATCATTATCATATTCTGTTCCATGAATACATATTTTGATAGTCCTGATACTAAAAGCACCTAATTAGATACTAAAAGCGTCTTACTAAGTGAGATAGCGGCTGTGATGATGATACCCTAAGTTATAACGTTAATTACCATGTATTATGAGCATATGAATATTAAATTGACATACACAAATAATTATAGTTTGTCTGTTCTTTTTATAAAAAAAAAAAAAAAAAAAACAAAGAGTGATGTGTTTTTTCTTCTTCAGACTGCAAGGTCTACAGAAGGCGATGGCTCATGCTCGCCCTGTTCGTCATGTATTCCATGTCGAACGCTATGCAGTGGATCCAGTATTCGATCATCGAGAACGTCGTCGTCCGCTATTACGGCGTAAGCTCTTCTTTCGTCGAGTGGACCTCGATGGTGTACATGGTCTCTTACATCATACTCATCGTTCCCGGATCCTGGGCTCTAGATAGATTCGTAAGTCTGTTTTTTTCTTTATTTAAAATATATATGTATATATACAAGGTGTCCTTTTGAAATGGCCCGGCTGAATTTCTCTTGAACCAATGACGCTACCAAAAAAACAAAAAATACGTGCCTAATATTTTTCAGTCTTGTTTCAAATTTTTACCTTGTTTTGGTGAAAGATTATACAGGTTACATCAGGCCCAGTTCAACTTCAAAAGTTCAAAAACGACCCTATACATCCTGACATATCATTTTAAAGGATTTTTTACGCTGAAAACTATGATGCATCGGGTTTTAAATTGATCAAAAAATGTCAAAGTAATGGCAAAAAGTTTGACAAAAAAACAGTTATTTAGTTTGCCATTTATTTATTACATTTCATGTTTCAGCTACCTGCCTTGCGTAAAGATGCAAAGATATGTTCTTTTTAACCACTTTTCACCGGTGCTCAGAACGATAGAATCAGGGGAGATGGATTGACAAGCATTTTCTATCCTTTGCCGCAGTTCTTCAACCGAGGTAGCTGGGTTATGATTATCATAGACACTTTTAAATGGCCGTACAGAAAATAGTCAATCGGGTGACGGAGGAAACCACAGATCGGGCCATGAGTTCCTATCCACCTATCCCGGAAGTAACGATTCAAATTACATGACAATTATTTAAGGTTTTTAGTTGAGATGAAAAAAAGTTAATGGCTCGAGAGGGATTCGAACCCACGACCTTCGGCTAGATACGCCGCTGATCTACCACCTGAGTTATCGTGATTTAAAAATGAAGTACACTTCACTAAAGCTCTCCGTCGCCATTTCAATTGTCGTCGAGAATCCCAACCGATTACACGACATTTGAAAAATGGCAAAAGGAGGGAAAAGTCATAAGGTGGGATTGAGATGGGGAGTTGATGTCCGAGTGGATCGAGGTCACGATAACTCAGGTGGTAGAACAGCGGCGTATCTAGCCGAAAGTCGTGGGTTCGAATCCCTCTCGTACCATTAACTTTTTTTCATCTCAACTAAAAACCTTAAATAATTGTCATGTATTAATTGGTCAAGCGGACCACGAAAATAATGAATTATTGATTCAAATTACTTTTCACCTGCAAAGAATTGTATGCGGAGCATCCATCAAGCTGGGGAATCATTGTTTGTCGTTGTTGCACGGAAACATCATCAAATAGTCTTTGGTAAAACCTCCCTCAAAAAATTGAGGATCCGAGCACCATTTAAATTATTTTCGAAGAAATAATTTATTCCCGAGAAGTCTACACCAAACGTTTTAGAGCAACCACGAAAACAGGTTACGTGGTTAAAACAAAGGATACGATGAAAAATGCCCTTGTTATAATACAACAAAGAAGATACTGGAGAAGGAGAATTTAGTCACAATTTTGATCAAAACTCATGGAAATCATAGAACCTGTCAAATGTGTAGGGATAGAAATACATTTGTGGAAATGTAACCCACAATAAACCTGAATATCACAAATACCTATCTTTTTATTACCTCGCAGAGCTCAGGGCAATGTCTCACAACTTACAAATTCATCACCTTATCACAAATCTGTACAAGCAGTAGCATCACTTAACTGACCTCATTACATGCTTCAAATTCATCACTCAACTGACCTAATAACAACGATTTACATGCTGCAGGTTCATCACCTTGAATCAAATCTTAACAAATTGTAGGGTCAGTCCATCATCTATTGACCTCATAACAATACGTCACATCCTGTGGATTCATCACCTTATAACAAATCTTTAAAAAATGCAGGTTCATCACCCCAAAAACCTTATGACAACATTTTCTATGTTCTCTCTCCCGAAGAGAGAGTTGTTAATAGTTGTATCGCTTTGTTGTTTTAGGGCCTCCGTAAGTGTGTATTAGCTGGAGCTTTAGGCACATGCCTAGGTTCTTGGGTGAAGGTATTTTCTTCCGGTCCGGACTCCTTCGTCCTCGGCTTCCTAGGTCAGACGGCCGTTGCCATCTCCCAGGTGTTCGTGCTATCGGTGCCGGCCCGTCTGGCGGCCGTGTGGTTCGGCCAGGACCAAGTCTCGAGCGCGTGCAGCATCGGCGTCTTCGGCAACCAGGTAAAGGAAACACTCACCAGGAATCACAAAACCAAACGCTGTTTCATAATAAAGACAAACCTATTTCCACATCCTGTTTTCATTTGATTTTACAGGATTGCCAGGATTTTCAGAAGATTGTCCAAAGAAGGCAAGGTTCATTCATATTTTACTCATTTCCAGCATACATCAGCACCTTTCTGTTTTCTCTGTAGCAGCACAGTCGCAAAATAATAAACCATAATAAATTTTACTATCTGTACATATGCACAGGAGTGAGCTTATTTGAGCTGTCTCCCTAATCTCGCCCTAAATCATTTCAACCATACTTCCCAGTTCGCAATTGTAAATTTAAAATTTAAAATCCTTTCTTATTAGTCATAATTATAACTAAATAAATTTTCGACAAAAAGCTAATTTTTTAATTTTACACTTAGTTCCATTAATTAGTTTCAATAATCAAACTGTTTATTAGATTAATCATACATGGCGATGTTAATGAGAAATACCAACTTCTCTTACTAATATCTTTCATTCACCTTCATATATTTATTCTTTTACGTTTTTTCTTCCCCATTGTTTATTCTGGTCTATTTATGCTAAATTGTAAACACTATTCCTCTGCCCGCACCTTCAGCATTGCCACATCTTCCCAAAGTACTTTTCTTACCTTTTTTCGAACGATTTATGCACATTTTCTATTCGTTTTTGGTTCGGAATGTCTGCCGTTCTTTTCTCACGCTTTTAGGTCCATTCGGTGCCGATTTTATTGCGCTTTTCTTGGCTTTTTATAGCTCGGAGTCGCCCTGGGTTTTCTCATCCCTCCGTCGGTCGTGCCCGACGTGGATGACAACGAGTTGGTCGGAAGCAGGCTTGGACTTCTTTTCAAATCGGTCGCAGGATTCACTTCAGTCCTACTCGTCCTCATCATTTTCTGTGAGTTTTCCATCCGTATCAACTCCCTAAAAAAAGCCGGATTGATTGACTGACTTTTTTTTAACAGTTTACGAAGAACAGCCGCCCCTGCCACCAAGTCAAGCGGCCCTGAAGCAGAAAGAAGAGACCCCGGATTTTGTTGGATCCATTAAACGGCTACTGTCCAACATCGGATACATCCTCCTCCTCGTCTCGTATGGAATAAACGTTGGTGTTTTCTATGCCATATCAACGCTGCTCAACAAAGTCATCATTACTTACTTTCAGGTACATAAGATCTCTCTGTGGGTGATATCACTAACATTAATTTCACTAATTTCGTGGTACGCTTGTCCAATTAATATATTACAATTAATTAAGGTTTTTAGTTGAGATAAAAATGGCAAAAAAGAGGGAAAATTCAAAAGGTGGGTTTGAGGTAGTTAGTGACCGAGTGGATCGAAGTCATGATAGCTCAAGTGGTAGAGCAGCGGCGTATCAAGCCGAAGATCGTGGGTTCGAATCCCGCTCGTGCCATTGACTTTTTTATCTCAACTAAAAACCTTAATTAACACTAACATTAATCTTGGTCCAGTAAAACGTGTTTTGTACTAAATGACAATGTACTGCAGTAATTTCATGCATCTATAGCTTGGCCCTCTTTGGTCATCAGGTGGTTACAATCAGGTTGTTAAAATATTAAAACGTATCTGTAAATCTTAAAGCAGAAAAAAAACCCCAGCAAGAATAGGTAGTTAAGAACGATTGAAGTTCTCAATAGCTTCATCACCTCTCAGACCTAATGAAACTATGTGACCATCATGTTAAACCAGCACTGGTTTAACTTATTGAGTCTATCTAAACTCAGGGTTTAGCGATTTCCTCACTGAAGATAGTGCAATGCAGCAAAACACATTTGCGTAATTTGACAAACCTGAGAGAGTAGATCTAGTGCTAGTACAACATGAGTTCACAGACTTCCAGACCAACAACCAACACCAACTGTAATGTTTGACAAGCTAAAAGTTTATCACCTCACAGACCTCATGACAAGCTAAAATTTAAACTTCTAACAGCATCTCAAAGCTGCAGAGCATCATTTACCATACATCATTACAATGTTTTTGTAACATTTCATTTTACATTTCCTCCCAGACTTCAAAGCAATGTTTAACCATTTTTAGAATGCTTCTGAAGATGCAGGCAGGATAGGATTGACCATTGTTATTTCTGGAACAGTTGGATCTGTGGTATCAGGATTTGTTCTAGACAAGACACACAAATTCAAGTAAGACCTTGAATTATTTTATTTTAAATCCTTACAATTAATTCATACCGATATCATAATTTTACTTTTGTTTAAGAGAGGTTACCTTGGTTGTCTACTTATTCTCCCTTATTGGTCTCGTGGTCTACAATTTTACCCTTGATTTGGGTTACATCATCATCGTTTATGTGACAGCTGGGTTTTTAGGGTAAGCCTGCATAAATTACCATTTTGGTAGATTTCTAAATCCGACACCCTTTCAGCTTCTTCATGACGGGCTACTTGCCAGTCGGATTTGAACTGGCGGCCGAACTCACATACCCCGAACCCGAAGGCACGTCGGTCGGCATACTCAACGGCTTTTGCCAGATCTTCGGCATCCTCTTCACCATCGGCTACTCAGCGTTGATCAACGCCTGGGGTACAAAAAACGCCGGGCTGGGTCTGATATCTACACTGGCGGCTGGCACCGTGATGACATACTTCATACCCAAAGACTACAAGAGGCAGGAAAGTGGGAAGGACGAAAAAGAGCCTGCATAAAAGAAAAAAAAATGTTTTGGTTTCAGCGTTGGTTGAGAAAATTCTGTCTAGTGAATAGACAGTTTTAGATCCAAAGGAATTGTTTTATCTTGACGCAACTCATTATCTTTTAATTAACAGTTGTTTCTATTAAATATTTACTTCTTTCAACTTTAAAAAAATCAATTCCTTTTTTTATAAATAATTATGGATCTAATGGTTTTTCAAACCAAAGTAAATGTGATATGTTTAATGTCATAATTTTAAACTCAAAAACAAAATTTCCTCTTTACCCAACATATCTAGTCATGGATGGATTTATATATTATTGTATATTTATCAACAGAATATTTTTTTAAGCTTGGTGCATAACTTTCATCTTAAACCTTTTTAAATATCAACCAACAGCTTTCAAAAAATAGTAAATGCTGATTATATATTAAATAAATCCAAAATTGGCAGTTTGTCAAGACTTAAAAGGACTTTCTCTCAATTTTAATTATGACAGGTCCAAAAATAAGTTTTCGTACATTATCAAGTTTTAAGGCCTAACCAGAAATATTTTTCCAAATTACGATTAATCAGTTGTTTATATTTTTGTATTTTTGAATGTTCGCCTGATTGTAACTGAAACAATAATTAATAATCATTTTTGTAAAAAATATAATCTAGAATAGACATTCCATGTTGTCTATTTCTGCTTTCTATGTAACGTCGCTTTATGTTTACATATTTTTAAAAAAAAAAGTCATATCAAAATATTGATAAATATTTAACTGTGTATTTATTGACTATAATACAAATAATGTTAGTAATTCAATTACAGTATTTAGGCTGTGTTCATTTGATTTATCACCATTACTATATTTAGATTAGGCCGAGACAATAAAATTGTTAAGAAGACAATAATTTTGTATTTTAATGATTGTTGTTTATCAGAAATAAAATGTTGATGAACTGTGTATGTTTTTCCTCCCACTTTTTAAATGATCAACAAGCTAAATTATCATTTATTAATTGAACTTGTAAAAACTGAAATATGATTTATAAAAACAAAGTAAAAGTTCCAATTTTTAAAGTTTTGTTTTGTGTATTTACTATTTTGTTATGTATTATTATTACTTGCCATGGCAATAGTTTGTCCTCAACAGTATCAATTAATTGTAACGATAATTCCATAGTGGTTAAACGCATGTAATGCTCAATAACAACGATAAGAAAGAGATAATGTAATGACTTGAATGGTCAAATTATCTCTGTTTCTTCCTTTCCTTAATTAAGTAAAGCATAAAAAACAAACTTCCAATTAAGTGAACAATTTCAATCTTTGTTTACGTAATATTATTATGTTTAATGTTCATGGAAAAGCCTATCTATTAAGATTTTAATGGTCTTGCCCTATCAATCGACAATTATCACGACCAGTGCTATAAAAACATAGGTTGATAGAAAATTTTTCCATCAGTGTATTTGTTTATATATTCCTGCGGTTTATAAACATTTATATATTAATGCGGTTCCATTAAATTTTTAAGATTCCTTCTCACTTCTTTTATACGAATGTTTATTAAAGGCACAATACTTAGAATATTTTATTTGGGTTTGTTATGTTGAATTTAATTAATCATAATAATAATCATTATATGTGTATTATTTATGTTTCAATTATTCATTATTACATATGCATAGTCTTATGGAACTTGAAACTTCTGCTCTAACCAATTAACTTGAGCTATCTTGACTTCGTGGTCATGGGTTCTAATCCAGCTAGTGGCACTAGCTTCATCCCAATGTAGGCCTTAGATGAAAAGTATAATTCATTAAAATAATTAATAAAGTTAACTATGACTGGTAAATACATAAGTGGATTAAAATAAATACATAATTCTCTATTTTTGACCAGTCAAAAAATAATTATTACAAAATTATCTATTTTTGACCATAGTCAAAAAATAATTATTACAAAATTATCTATTTTCGACCATAGTCAAAAAATAATTATTACAAAATTATCTATTTTCGACCATAGTCAAAAAATAATTATTACAAAATTATCTATTTTTGACCATAGTCAAAAAATAATTATTACAAAATTATCTATTTTTGACCAGTCAAAAAATAATTATTACAAAATTATCTGTTTTTGACCATAGTCAAAAAATAATTATTACAAAATTATCTATTTTTGACCATAGTCAAAAAATAATTATTACAAAATTATCTATTTTTGACCATAGTCAAAAAATAATTATTACAAAATTATCTATTTTTGACCATAGTCAAAAAATAATTATTACAAAATTATCTGTTTTTGACCATAGTCAAAAAATAATTATTACAAAATTATCTATTTTTGACCATAGTCCAAAAATAATTATTACAAAATTATCTATTTTTGACCATAGGCAGAAAACAATGATTATGATTCTCTATTTTTGACCACAGCCAAAAAAACTGATTACTTAGTTCACTATTTTTGACCAGTCAAAAAAACATTGATTACATAATTCTTCATTTTTGACCATAGTAAAAAAAAAACATTGTTTACATAATTCTCTATCTTTGACCATAGGCAGAAAACAATGATTATATGATTCTCTATTTTTTACCACAGTAAAAAAAAACAATGATTACTTAATTTTCTATTTTTGACTATAGTCAAAAACGGATGATACAAAATTATATATTTTTGAAGGTAGTCAAAATTTTGAGCATAATTGCTTGATGTATGTTTCTGCTGATTTCGTTGCCTTTTCTTTTACCAGCTATTGGAATTTTGTCACCATACAATTATGGTAACTGTCAGATCAGAACACAACACAATTGGGATAGGGATGACAGTGGCCGCAATGGTTAAGGCATTGACCCAAGATTCATCATTGTACAGTAAAGGTCACAAGTTCGAATCATATGATAATGTAAGCAGCGACAGCCAGATAATTTTCTCTATATTCGCTTGCTTTTCTCTAAACGATAAGAGTAGTCGGCATAAGCGCTTTGCTACTAATTCTTGTATAGAGGAAGGTGAGTATTTTAGAATTTAATAAATCAGAGAGTTTATACTCCAACATTTATTTTAACACAATTCCATCTCTTAAAAGAACATAAGCAACAACAAAATTTTAATCAATCTAAAAAGTCAGCAATTACTCTAAATTTGGGATGAGTCTATTGAAAAAGGGACTTACCCCAAACAACAGTCACCACAATTAGCATCCACAGAATCTTCAGTGCCATTCCGGAATCTTGGCTTGATCTTGATGTGTCGCACTGGTCCTTGCTGGCTTTGGTCAGCTGAGTCCCCTTGTTCAGTCCCAGACGAAGCATGGTTGCTTCTGTTCACTGCGTAAGGTGAGGTCTCTGAGTCCTTGGTCTTGACTTACTTTTGATTTCCAAATCATCCCTTTTTATACCAAGTTTCAGAGTACAGGTGGAAAGAAAAATCAAAAGTCAGGGAGTTCTAGATTTTTGTCAAGGTTGAAGTATTTTTTCTGTGGAACTTCCATCATAGGTAAAATACAGGAAAAATGCATTTAAGTTCCAGCAATGGTTGCATTGCGAGATTGGTGTGTTTCTTTTAGTTGGGGGAGTTCCCATGCCATAGGTTGACAAGCAAATACGGGTATCGTGCACCTAGTTGATGCGACAAATGACATCCCATGTCGCTACATATTTTTGAACTTGTGACAACCTTTCAATACTAAATACCTCAATCTTGTGATTTATCTGACCAGTTGTCCAACTATTGCAACTTCATTCGTGGGGAAACATCCTGTGGCTCTTGTCTGGGTCAGCGATACCCTTGTCCAACTGCTTAACTATTGCATATGTTGTGGGTAATCTAGAGCTAATCTGGGTGATTGCCCCTTCTGATTTCCAGCCTTTTTTTTTCTATGGACGTTTATTTATTTATTTTTTTTTTTTTCTTCCTTATCAAGTAGAACTTGTTCTACGATGAGGGCAGGCTTACAGTAAGAATAACAAATCCTTAATAACAATTATCGTTAGCTGCAGTGGGATACGACTGGTGATAATGAACGTAACATTAATATATTTGCAGTCCAGATGGTGATATAGTTACAGAAAATCTAACAATTAAACAACGTATCAAGGGCATCCTCTTATCCTTACACAGTCAAGCCTACTAAGCTTAGTTGTTTAAAATAAATCACCTGTTTAGATTATCACATTTCAAAAATGTTTTGTTCAATCAAAACGTCAATAAAACTAATTTAACAAAGAAACAGGTCAAAGATAAGATAATTTCTAAAAACAAATTCGTTTTTAAAACCTTGTATTCTTTAAACGTTTGTACATAGATGAAAACTAATTCCTTTGAAAAATACAAGTCGCTGAATATACATACAAAATAAACCCCAATACATAGCAAAACGTATGCTTATTTACATAAAAACATTTAACAACTATTTTAAAAAATTGTTAATTACGATTTAAACATAGCATCATAAGAAGTTTGAAAATATGAATATCGAACTTTTTAAGTGATGGCTCATTGGGTTAGTCCTAAATATTCCATCAAAGGATAAAATTAAGTCTGTTTTCAATTATATTGATCCATTATGTTTAACATTGGCAGAAACAATGTACTATAACAGAACTGTTAGAAAATTATTATTAAAAAAACATTACAAAAAATTCAGCCATAAAACGGCCAATAAATAAAAATCATACAACATAAGACTTTTAAACATTAATATGTTTTCTACCGTTCCAACACATTGTATAAAAAAAAAAATTGAGTACAAAACCAAAAATAATGGACCAAGTGTATAAAAATGTTATCACATAGACATAGCATTTTTTGACTTTATTATTGTGTAACGCTTTTCTTGGTATCATTTATTAAATAGTCCTCTTCAATGACAGGCTCTTGCAATTTTTGCACCTTGGGTTGGGGATTTTTCTTGATCTAAAGATAAACAAAAATTATTTACGGGTTATTATTATTACGTATGATTGTACATACATGAACGATGGCTAGGTAGTTGAGCGGTACCATGCCCGATTGCTGCCCTTTCCAGGCCATTAACCAACTCCTCTTGCTGTTTAAATCCGATTGGCGGACTAAAAGTACCTCACCTTTCTTAAAACCGAGCTCGTCAGACTGAGCAGGTATGAAATCGTACCCTGTGACTACTTTCATCATTCCCTCTTGGGGTACTACAAAGTTGAAAAAAAAAAAATGACAATTTTTAATTTTATTTACGGTTAAAAACAAGTTCTTACTGCTGTCAGTTCCTTCCTTAGGAGCAAAGAGTGTGTAAAGAACATAAGGTCCACCTAAAAACAGGCCAAAAACTGCTGCCAGCGGTAATAAAGAATTTCTAGCGGGGCGCTGCTGAGACGCAGCATCTGAACAACCCTCGGCAAATCGCCACGCTTCTTCTTCAATCTGAGTTTTATTAATAAGCCCTACAAAAATTATAATATATTGAAAAAATGTTTAAAAAATATAAATATCTAATTGATACATACTGAGCATGTATAATATTCTACGGTAAAAATAACGTATCCTTCTAAAAATTGCCAAAGAGGCAAGGATGTCTGAGAGGACACCTTTGAGCCTAGACATATTTTCAGCGACACTCAAAACCGCTCTGAACGACATTGACATGGCGTGGTACGTCGACTCCATCATCATAGAAATTGAAGTAAAAGCGCGTACAAAGGACTCGACACGTTGAAAAGCTGGCATTGAGCTTTCTTCAGCCAATTGGACAAATCTGACAAAATTATAGTTTTATAGTTAACAACGCGACAATGAACTTATTAAATACGATACCTGTTCTCAAACGGACCGACTCCATAACCTCCGCCCATGTAGTTTCCTGCCGAATAGCCGCCCCCGTACATGGAATACGAGGCAGCTCCTCCATACATGCCATACCGAGATGGGTAGTAAGACTGGTTCGCGGATAAGGAACGGCGTGGGCGGGGAGGCGGTCCTGAAGCGTTTCCATGTCCTGGTCCCGGCGCAGCCAATCTTCTCACATCTTGCAAAGAGCTATTGATATCAACACTAACAAAAAAAAATTAAAATCAATTAAAAATATTATCAACTTTGAACTTGGCAAATAATATGAAAATTGCAGACTCTGATGATCAATGATGATAAATTCACTAATTTTGTGGTCTGCTTGACCAATTAATATATTACAATTAATTAAGGTTTTTAGTTGAGATAAAAATTCATTTGTCACCGAGAATCAAATAGATTACAAGACATTTGAAAAATGGCAAAAAGGAGGGAAAATTCAAAAGGTGGGGTTGAGATGGGAGGTTGGTGTCCGAGTGGATCGAGGTCACGATAGCTCAAGTGGTAGAGCAGCGGCGTATCTAGCAGAAGATCATGGGTTCGAATCCCGCTCGTGCCAATGACTTTTTTATCTCAACTCAAAACCTTAATTAATTGTAATGATGGTAAAACTGTGCTCGACAAACACATAGACCGTTAAATGGATACAAAATGAATAACACCAAATTAACTAATAATCATAAAATGTAATGCCATAGGGAAATCTGCACACTATTGTGAAAAATGATAAAAACTGAAATTGAAAAGAAAAAAAATGTTAATTTAATTTTTTTTAACTTTGAGTTTTTATGGATTAAATGCCAAAAGCAAAACATAATCATTTGGATATTATGATCAAATACTGCTCAGCAAGACACACACCCAGCACAACTTTAAAGCAAGGCAATGCTTTATTTGTTTTGCCAGTTTTTAACAATGCACAATGTCACAGTCATGCTGAAATGTACAGCAAGAATAAGCAGATCATAAAAAATGTTCTAACATAAACATTCAACAAGTTGCATACTACCATGGATGAACATAAATGAGACACAATGATATAAAGGTGAGCGATCAGCTGTTATTCAACCTGTCCAAAGAAAATTCTGGTGTTGAAACTACACCAATCTTTCGGTGTTTTATTTCACCTTCCTCAGGGCTAGATCCTCTGTCATGGGATTTTGTCTAAGATAATAATTTGTAGTAAGTGCCATTTATTTATTTATTGAAAATATTGTACGTAGTATAAGAAATGACAAAAAGTTGTTAAAATAAACAAGTACACGGACTACAAAGTACAAGCACCAATACTCTTGTTTCCTAATACACTGTTGGACAAAATTAATGCTCCTCCCTTAAATTTTAATATATTTAGGTTTATTCATGTTTTGAGAACCAGGGTACACTATTATTGAGTAAAGAATTTAAAAAAAAAACGGTACATTTAAAAAAAAAAAAAAAAACGCCTTTGCAGTCCTTGGAAAAGATTTCTAATGAAAACCCGAAGAATTCTTTGTGCTACAGTTTTCCGGTCTGAAATCATAGAGATTGAACAATGCGCCAGAGAAATAAAAAGGCTAGGAATGCAATCTTGGATGATCTATAAAAGTCAGGCAACACTAAATGTGGGCACCTCATGCGAGGTGAAGGCAAAGAGCGTTTCAAACTGTATGGAGGCTCTGATGGAAGTCAGCGACAATGTGACCTGACCCTTGCAACGGTCCCCAGGCATTTGGGGCATAGAAGCAACAAAAAGGTTGGCATTTTGGCCAAAGAGGGAGCCAACATGGTCTCTCTAGGTCCTCAAGCCTGTGGCTTAGCATTTTTCCACAAAATGGATCCTCAATGAGTCCAAAACTTGGTGGAACAATACAACAGGCAAAAGTCGTGCGAAGTGATTCATAGAAGGTTCATCTGCAAAACTTACAAAAGAATTACTGGAAGAACCGCAAATGAACCAGGATTCTGGTTGGACTCCTGGCAGGGCACTGCCACTTAAGAAAGCACATGCCCTGGAAAGGAGTACGGACAGAAGAAACACTGCGCAGATACCGCCAAGAAGAGGAGGAGACCGCAGAACACATTTTATGCTTTTTTGAAGTTCTGTTAGGTGCAGGTTCTTGCAACTAGGACAGGAAAAACCACAAGCAAAATCGTACACATCTTGCATTAAGACAAGGCTGTGGAGGTTGATTAACAACCTGAAGCTGGGAGTGAGTTATATAAAATAGAGAAGATTGATCTAATCAGGTCGAAGTGCATTAGGCCTTGTGGCCACTTCTTTTTTCCCTATCCCTATCCGACTTTGTATCTCGACTCGGTAGTGAGGGGAATCTTGAATCGCACGTTAATACATGAGTTGGGCTTAATCGTGCATTACCATGTGTACGCTCTACTTCAAACTTCAGTATTCCACTAACGCGCATTGGAAAACTCTTCATACGTACTAGGCCTTGCCATTTTTGACATGTTTGAACATGAAGGACTTTGTCGAAACATGTAAATCTGAAAAAGCAGGTAAACTTAACACCTAGGCTTTAAAAACAAAAACAAATTATAAATTATGGTCTATAAACATGAAATTTCAACATCGGTAAATAAAACCTTCTGAAACTTTTAGAGGTTTACCTTCGAGTTACGTTGTAAGTACGAAGCATTGGGCTTTCCTATGGTTCTTCGAAAATCTGATCGTTTCATTAGTCAGACTGTTAGTCATCATTTTCTTGAAATTGCGTCTCAATTAATTAATTAAATAAAATATATATTAGCTATAATTTAACATGAAAAATTCAAAGTAAAAGGGGTGAATTAGGCCATTTTTTGTTTTACTTTAGCTTGCTTTGTTGTATTATTTCATATTCAACAAAGAAAAAACTAACAATTTATTCTGGACACAATTAAAAAAAAAAAAATGATAAAATAGGTAAAAATAGAAAAATATAATTTAATGGAGGAACTAAATTGATGTACTTACGTCATAAACGTAATAAAAAACTGTGCTAATTAGTACACAAATTTGAATAAACAATGAAGGACGATGTTTTTAATTTGAGTTTCAAAACTTACTAAGAGTTCCTGAGGTTAGGCACATTGGCCAAGGATTTTTCAGGAGGCGTCATCTGTGATGATGCTCGGGCCGGCTCGAAGATGATGACGGATGTCGGCTCGGATGGAGGGACGAGAGAAATACAAGTTAAACGATTGGAAACGACGTACAAGTGAAAAACAAGATAGTCATTTTGATAGTCTAGTTCCTTGAACGGTGCGGGAAGAGGGGAGGCCCAGATAAAAATAATTCGAGTACGAGCCGCCAAAGTCGCTAGCGGCGATTGAAACGATACTGGATTTCAATCACTCGTGATTTTTCATTGATCAAAATGAGGTTTCTTTGGGATTGACTCAAAGAGGAAAAACTAAGGGGTTTCAAGAAGAAATCTAAGGGCAAGGCGGTGAGAAGGAAGTTTTCCAGACCGGCAAATTTCAGGATCATTGAAACCTTCCACCTTGTTACCGGTTGGAATTCAATGATTCAATTTTCCGATGACATTAAGCTTGTTTGACGCAGAAGTTTCCAACTTGTTACCCGTTGGAATTCAGTGATTCTGTTCTTCCCGTGATCAGGCTGCTTAGATAAATTTGTTTCTCGATCGTTTACAAAAAATAGCTTACATTTTAAAAGTAAAAAACAATTTAAAAACATTGATCATTTTGAACAGGCTTGCAAGTTGGAAACACCTAACGCTTCATTGGAAAAAATGGAACATTATAATGCAATTCTCTTATCATTAACACACATTGTTGATATTAAAAATTCAATTAAATTTGAATTAACAACTAAAATAAAAATGTTCAAAGTGCCAGCTTTCTGTCGTTAAACATTTTTAAAAAGCACAAATAAACACGCTTTGAAAATTTCCAACTTGCTACCCGTTGGAATTCAATAATTCTATTCTTCAGTCATCAGGCTGCTTAGATAAAATTGTTTCTTGATAATTTACAATAAATAGCATACATTTTGAAAGTAAAACGCATTTTACTCGTTGAGGTCATTTTGAACAGGCTTACAAGTTGGAAACACCTAACGCTAAAAGTTGCAATATTATAATACAATCTCTTATTATTGATTATTCAGAAATCGTGAGATGCGGTCTGGTGTGACGTTGGTTTCAGAAAAACATTTTTTTTTCGTGCAAACGTTTCGATCTTTTATTGAGATCATCTTCAGGGCCTGGGATTTACAAACATTGTTCAAATTTAACAAATACATGTAGGATGTGAGAAAAGTGAATTTATACAATGCAAAAAAAATATTTTTTATATTAAATCGAAGTTCAATCAATCTCTTATTATTCCCAAACATTGTTGATATTAAAAATTTTATTCACTAAAATAAAAATCTTAAAAGAGTCAGTTTTCTGTCGTTAAACGTTTATAGAAAGCACAAATAAACATGCTTTGAAAGTTTCCAACTGGTTTCAATTTGTTTCTAGATAGTTCACAATAAATAGCAAACATTTTGAAAGTAAAAAAATATTTTACTCGTTGAGATCATTTTGAACAGGCTTATAAGTTGGAAATACCTAAAGTTTCATTGGAAGAAAAATTGCAGTATTTGAAGGCAATGGCTCTTATTATTCCCAAACATTGTTGATATTAAAAATTTAATTCACTATAATAAAACTCTTTTAAAAACCCAACTTTCTGTCGTTAAACGTTTGTGGGAAGCACAAATGAACACGCTTTTATAGTTTCAATTTGTTTCAGGATAATTTACAATAAATAGCATACGTTTTGAAACTATAAAACATTTTACTCGTTGATATCATTTTGAACAAGTTGGAAAAAGCTAACGCTTCAATGGAAAAAATTGTAAAATTATAATGAAATTCTCTTACCATTTCTACACATTGTTATATCAAAAAATTAATTCACTATAATTAAAATCTTAAAAGGACCTGTTTTTTTGTTGTTATACGTTTATGGGAAGCACAAATCGACACGCTTTGAAAGTTTCCAACTTGTTACTCGTTGGAATTCTATGATTCTGTTTCTCCCCGGCCATTAAGCCCTAAAATAGCGCAATACTTAAATAATACTTTACACCCTAATATTTCAAGTTGTAATATAACATATAATAAATTACCTACATTTTGACAATATAAATACAGTACTCGTCGTCAAACGTAATTGACGTAATTTTGAACAGGCGTGTAAGTTGTAAACATCTAACGCTTAAAATGCTTCAAGAACAATGAATTTAAATCAATCCATTTCTTGTAATCAACATTATTGATATTAAATTGATTAATCTTTTTATGTAAGGTATTGGTTGAAATGAAAAAGCTAGTGACACGAGCGGGATTCGAACCCACGACCTTCAACTCAATACGCCGCTGCTTCACTTCAACTAGTATCTTACATAAAAAGATTAATTAATTGAAAGCAGTTATTTGGTCAATCAAACCACGATATATAATGGACTATTGATATTATAAAACTATGAAATCATTAAAATAAAAATAAAAAGACGACAAAAATAATTAAATTTATTCTTGTAAATAAAAACACAAATTTCGGGTAGGAAATTAAAAGTAGCAACTACAGATACTTTTTCATCGAACGGACTGGCCTTCACGTTTTCTAACAATTTCAAATTGAAATTATCACTTCCTTCAATAAATAATTAAAAACCTTAACATGCAAAAAATATAAAAATAATGTAGCTCGAAAGTATAAATAATTTGTATTTGACTAATCACCAGGAATGAGATACATCTATTAAAATTGTCTTCTAACAAAAATTACTGATAACGACATTAATTTTAGATTGAATTAATTATGAAATATACAAAGTCTACATAATTATCTCCCATCACTTGACCATTATGATTAGTGGTCTGATTGACCAAATTACATCTTTCAATTAATTATTCTTTGTGTGTAAGGCTTTGTTGGAATGAAAAAGTTAGAGTCAAGAGCTTTTTGGAGGTCAGTTTCACATCTACAATGTCCTCTCCTAAAACATTGAATTGCTTGAAACGTTCCAAACTTGTAACTTGATATAATTCAACTTTGAAATCATTAAAATAAAAATCTAAAGACGACAAAAAGAATTAAATTTGGTCTTTATAACTGGAAATAAAACCACAAATTTGGGATAGTAAATTAAAAGTAGCAACTTTTTTATAAAACGAATTGGCCTTCACGTTTTGTTTGACTTCAAATTAAAATTATCACTTCCTTTAATAAACGATAAAAACCTTTTGGCGTTACCGGTTTAAATAATGATTCAATGCCATCAAACAAGTCGTTCGTTCACGGATCATTTAAATTTTCATTGTTGTAATGAAAAAGTTTCATTCACCAGTTCTTTCTGGTATTGAAAGAAAATATTTTTATCCAATAAATTTTAGATTGAATTAATGATGAAATATACAAAGTCTACCATCATTTTCCATTATGTTTAGTGGTCTAATTGACCAAATTATTTATTTCAATTAATTAATTTTTGTGTAAGGTTTTGATTGAAATGAAAAAGTTAGTGTCCCGAGCGGGGATTCGAACCCACGACTCAATACTGCTACTCTAACCACTTGAGCTTCATTGTGTCTTCAATCTACTCGGCCAAAAAATTTCCCTTAGTTAATATTTTTTCGTAATTATTTGAGAACCACTCAGAAAGCGTTAACCCCACGCCTTCCCTGGTAAGGGAAAGCTGACGGTCATCGATGTTTTGGTAGTTCAAAATGACTGAACTACCGAAACTGCCTCACGCTCAGGGGAGAACGCTACGCTTCTTCATCGTGGTTTAAGGTATTCGACTGTTGTAGCCGGATTTTGTGAAGATCTACTACAGAAATGATCCTGTAGAAGTATGATCTTAAGTTTACCCGGAACGCACCTTTCACCTCTAATGGTAAAACTGCTCTCGACCGACTGGGAAGTCAACTTCACATCTACAATCTCCTCTCCTAAAAATCCATTACGTTTATCGTATTTTAATTGATAGTAAGGCTCTTTTGTTATATTATATTTTTTAATTGTTTTCAAATTATTTAAGCAATTATTGTAATAATGTAGTAAGAAGTTGTGATCAGAAGGAGCGTAATAATTGTGAAAGCGCTACCTTCCGGCAAGTTTTCAGTTACAAATAGTTGTGCACTTCTGGGCCTCTTCTGGTGAACAATAAACTTATCCTATTTATTGAAAGCGTTGTTCCATGTTGATTGATTGTTACGATGAGCGGTAAAAAATAATTCGGAGTTGCCAAGCTTTAATATATCTGTTATATCCTATGTACATTTTCAAAGACGTCCAAGGTAATTTTATACAAATTAGTGGTACCTATTTCAATTCACTTGGAAGTGAGGCGAAATTTAGTAAGACAAAGTGCGAATAAGAAAAGCGGAGAAATTTTACACACATTTATAAAACTGGTTAGCGAACTTACCTGCATTTATTTTATAATATATTTGCGATATTCATAAAATCACTTTTCGAACTAAGTAATCCGGGAGTAAATATGAAACCCTGATCAATCTTATCTGTTTTGTTTTTGAATTTATTTTAAGCTAAATTATTATACGTAATGAAGTATATTTTATTATACTTTTCATAATGTGAGCTCACCGCAGTGAAGCAAGAAAACTTTGTTGAATCCTGGCTAAAGTTTTCTTTTTTAAACTAAATTAAGCGGATATATGTTTTTTTAAATTTATTTAGGTATATTACATTTTGTAAAACCAACAGAAAGAAATTAATCAATCAAAAATAGATCACTTTTGACTATATATTATAATTGTAAGTAATTTAATGTGATGACTTGGAATATAATAATGGTAAGTTATTTTTGTCCGATAATAAAACAGAAACACTATATCCTTTCGACCTTTGATTGTATTTTTATTTAGTGTTTCAAAATCATTTCCTTATTTTTACGAGCCGATTATTTTGATTTTGACAATATCCCTTATTCAAAATTAGGATTTCTTTAATGGTTTAAGGTAAGCTGGGAAAAAGCGCCTCTGCAATACAACTACTCTACTTCCCGTTAGATGGAGCTAGAATTATCAGTATTCTTGCCCTTATAACGAATTGAAATAATTTCGCGTGCTAATTTTTCAGTGGTACAAAAAAAGTATTTCTTTAAAATAAAATACACATTGTAACCCTCTTGCATGCAGATTCTTCCGATAGCAGGTTACCATGTTGCTAACCATATATATTACGCAGGGTGGGTGACTAAGACCCGAGGGGTTAAATGCCTGGGTAGACTCGTACCCATACCCATAAGCTAAAATGTTTTCATTAGAAAATCTCTCACAGTACGTATGCTGAAATATTGATCAAGTTTGAAGGCAAAAGTGGACAAATATTTATAAAACGAACTGTGTCTAATGTCTGTTGGATCTCTACTTTCAACTCCAGGAGCCCAATTGATTGCGAAAACCTATAATATGCCATTGTTTCTCTGCTGGATTTCAATATCAACTGCATATGTAATTAATTATTTCTGGTGAGGGGAAATGTAACTTCTTGAAGCATGCACCAGAAAAATTCGTACGGTTTTTCATTTCGTATTGTTTCACCACGGTTAACCAATATTTACATAGGAAGATTAGGTTTTTACATCATGTAATTCTAAGAGAATATAGAATTTAATTAGAAGAGAATAGAATATTTTAGAATTCATAAAGAAGAAATTAGAACATACAGAATTTAAGAATTCATAAAGAAGAAAGTAGATATATTCTTCTTCTAAGAATAGAAATTATTCACAGATCGTGAGATGCGGTCTGGTGTGACGTAGGTTTCAGAAAAACATTTTCTTTATGTGCCAACGCATCTCACGATTTCTGAATAATTATCGATTAACGGTCACTAATCACTACACATAAAGAATAGAGAATTTAAGAATTCATAAAGAAAAAGTCTCTTAAACAGTTCACTATAAAATAAAATAATAAAAATAATATTTGGTATTTAAAGAAAATATAAATGTTAATTTCAATTATATTGTATTCAATTAATCCACTCACTTATAATTGAAAGATAACTAAACTCACATGAAAAGTTAGCTACGGGGCTCATATACGTTGCTGCTGCTGTGACTTCAAAGTTCAAACCACTCGGACACAAACTTCCCCTGTTAATATATTTTTTCATGATTATTTGAGTACCACTCAGAAAGCGTTGTCCCCACGCCTTCCCTGGTAAGGGAAAGCCGACGGTCATCGATGTTTTGGTAGTTCATAATGACTGAACTACCGAAACTGCCTCACGCTCAGGGGAGAACGCCACGCTTCCTCATCGTGGTTTTAGGTATTCGACTGTTGTAGCCGGATTTTGTGAAGATCTACTACAGAAATGATCCTGTGGAAGTATGATCTTGACTTTACCCGGAACGCACCTTTCACCTCTAATGGTAAAACTGCTCTCGACCGACTGGGAAGTCAACTTCACGTCTACAATCTCCTCTCCTAAAAATCCATTACGTTTACAATATTTTAATTGATAGTAAGATTCTTTTGTTATATTATATGTTTTAATTGTTTTCAATTTAGTTAAGCAATTATTCTAATAATGTAGTAAGAAGTTGTGATCAGAAGGAGCGTAATAATTGTGAAAGCGCTACCTTCCGGCAATTTTACGGTTACAAGTAGGTATGGTGAAGGGGGTGCACTTCTGGGCCTCTTCTGGTGAACAAAAAACTTATCCGTCTATCCATTGAAAGGATTGTTCCGTGTTGATTGATTATTACGATGAACGGTAAAAAATAATTCGGAATGACCCAAGCTTTAATGTATGTGTTATTTGTTATATACATATTCAAATATCTCCAAGGTAATTTTACCCACTTTGTTTTACATATTTTGTTTAATTCGCGTGGTATTATCTTCGTAAATAATCGAAATTAAATAGGACAAATTGGTATTAAAAAAATGGAAAATTTTACAGACATTTATGAAATTTGTCGGCAACTTATACTTATTTATTTTAGGTAATACATTTGCAATATTACAATTTTGCTTTTTGTAATAATGAATAATGTAACAGTGAGAAAATATGAAAACAATAAAACTTATTTTTTTAGTTTAAGCTAATTTATTATTCGTAATCAAGTATGTTTTAATATACTTTTCATATGAAAAATCACAGCTATGAAGCAAGAAAACAATGTTGAATCATGGCTGTTTAAGCTACATTAATTGGATGCGTGGTTTTTTAATATTTGAGCATTACATTTTGGATAACCAGTTATGGCAAATTAATCAATCAAAACTAGATCGATTTTTGCCAATATCTTCAAATTATTATATTTTAAAGAACAAATTATCAATCGTTGTTTCTGTATAACCTACTGTGGTGAAAAGCTGAAAACACTTCTGGGCCTTTTCTGATGAACAATAAACTTATCCGGTGTATTTATTGAAAGTGTTGTTCCGTGTTGATTGATTGTTGCTATGAGCAACAAAAAATAATTCGGAATTGCCCATAGCTTTGATATATTTGTTGTTTCCTACACATATGTTCAAATACCACAAGACAATTTTATAGACGTGTGGCACTGATTTAAATTCGCCATAGCAAATAATTGAAAAAATATGAGGAAAAAAAGGAGAAATTTTACATAGACCTTTGAAACTGGTCGGCCAACTTACCTCTACATATTTATTTATGATCTCTCTCTCTCTCTCTCTCTCTCTCTCTCTCTCTCTCTATATATATATATATATATATATATATATATATTTACATTTTATATTCATTTTTGTAATCAATGAGTAAATATGAAAGCTCTGTCCAATTTTGTTGGTTTGCTTTTTTTTTTTTTTTTTTAAATCTAAATCAATTGTATTCATGATTTGCTGGCGAATGCTTCTGTTTTCAGCGTTTTTGAGGGTTATAAATTTTTTTTTAAATTTTACATCTAGATTAAGAGTAAAAATAAATGTTGATAAATAACAGCGGTGTTTGTCGTTCGATAAAAGTTTAAGGAAATTCGATACATTAATTATAGCTAATTTTTTTATCTGTCAACAACTATCGAAAAGTGACAACAACTTGCAAACAAGTATACTTTTATAAACCTTCCAACTTGCCATTACCAGTTGGAATTCTATCACTAAATTCGTCTGTGATTTGATCGTAACCGATCTTCCTATTCTCTCTGTATATTACAGATTTAAGTTACACTTGTTGGATGGATGTAGTCATGCGAGTTGGAAACAGTTATCTTTCCCTCCATAGAAGGACAAGGTTCAATCTAATACCTAATGCAATCTTAATATTTATTTCGCCACTTTATTATTAAAAGTTAAATATCAGTATTAAATTAAAATAAAAACCGCAATATATCAAACCTCAAGGAAATGCCGACAAGATGTTTTTCTGTTTTTTTACAATTGAATTAGTGCTAAATATTTTCTCACGTTATTCTTAAATTATATCAGTCGTACCTTTGAACATCGACCTGCATTGGAAACAATGATTATGAGGATCAAGGTGAGGTCATCATCAGGAACAAAACACTATTTTTATGCCAGGCTTTGGTTGATAAAATATTGTTAATTGCATTAATTTATCTCCGGTTAATTTGACATTTGGTAATAAAATAGAAGAAAGGGGGGGTTGCGATATCAAATCTCTTCTGTTTTCACACAAGAGGTCTAAAACCGTTTTGCCAGCGAACATACGGGTATTGCCCCTAGCCGGCCATCCGGAGTGAATACCCCAAAATACGGTCACTATCTCAGAGCTGAGGATGACTCGTATCAATTGATAGCTCAGTTTCCTTCCTTCTCATCTCGGGGCACCAGTTGAATCAATTCGCGGATCAACGACATGCGCCCTTTCTGGCTCGTTTTCTTGTGAGTGTGCCTTTTACAAATTTTCTACCGTTAAGTTCGGCCTCTCGATTTTCTAAAATGGTCGACGCATGGTGGGAAGCGGTCCATCTCGCCGCGGAGATTGACGAATTTTCTCCCTTTTTGACATCAAAGGCTGACATAAACATCCACACAGTGAAATAATTTAGTCATGTTTTGTTTTAATTTTCTAGATTTGGAAGAAGTCATTTTGTTTATATTAATTGATTAAGTAATTGGATGATTCTTAATTTTAAACAACCAGGAATGTTTACAGCTTTCCTCAAGTTTGACAATTAATATTAATATCAATGGCATCATTAGATTGAAATATCCGTACGATTATCATAATTNGAAGACAAACACTTTGAGTGAGTAGAAATACTTTGATTGAATATATAAAAAAATATATTTTGCATTGTATAAATTCACTTTTTCACATCCAAAATGTAATTGTTATATGTAAACAATGTTTGTAAATCCCAGGCCCTGAAGATGATCTCAATAAAGATCGAAACGTTGGCACCATAAAGAAAATGTTTTTCTAAACCTACATCACACCAGACCGCATCTCACGATTTCTAAATAAATATTCTATAGAAAATTTAACTTTTCTTTAAAAATAACTTCGTCTCTAACATTGGAATTAAAGGAAAAAAATTCGATGACAAAAATATTAATTGATTTGATTGATAATACCAAGTCATAGTTGGCGTTCGTGGTATAACATCAGTTTTCTGCATAATCTCTTAATAAAATCAATCAAAAAAGATGTCATGAATGTGTTTAGTTTTTACCTAATACAGCTTTGATATTGACGATTAGATTATCGCGAGTTCGTTAGAATAAGAAAACAATTGGCGATAATCAGCGTGAAATCGGATTTCTTTAAATTCTTACTACGAGATTCATTATACATGTCGGTTCGATTATCTGACTGAGATATTTGTTTATTTTTTCATTGCACTTGATAAAGAACTGCAAATACCGGGTTTTTTTGATTGATAAAAATTGTTATTATTTTAAACAATAAAAAAGACAAAAAGCGATTTAAACCAAGAAAATTCGCGAATTTGCGTTGACTAACAGGATTCAATATATTTTTTTTTTAAATTTTGTTGACAGTGTATTTTTGTACAATTATAAAACAGATACGCTTACCAATTATTTTTTGTAAAGCAAGACTCGATCAGAAAACAATCGTAAATAAAAACATAAACGATTTAGTGTTTTTATTTTATTATCGGACAAAAATAACTTACCATTATTATCCATTCATAAAATGAAGTCAAATGAAATAATTTCTTCAAGGATAATCAATACACAATTACATACAGAAACAACCAGTCTTCAATTGATAATTTGTTCGTTAAATTACCTATAATATGAAGATATTGGCTAAAATTGATCTATTTTTAATTGATTAATTTCTTATAATTGTTTAAACAAAATGTAATATACCTACTTAGACAAATTTAACAAAAAAAAAACATACATCCGATTAGTTTAGTTTAAAAAAGAACAATTCAGCCAGGATTCAATAAAGTTTTATTGCTTCACAGCTGTGATCTTTCATTATCAAAAATATATTAGAACAACTTGATTACGAATAATAAATTAAATTAAAATAAATACACAAGCAAAGCAATAAATGAATACGAAATGTCGCAAATATGTTACATATAAATAAATATGTACATGTAAGTTGGCCGACCAGTTTCATAAGTCTACATAAAATTTCTCCCACTTTGTTTTACTCATATTTTGTCGATTATTTGCTATGGCGAATTTAAATCAGTGCTACACGCCTATAAAATTTCCTTGGCAGTACTTGAACATGTAGGTTGGAAACAACAAATATATTAAAGCTTGGGTCACTCCGAATTATTTTTTACCACTCATAGTAACAATCAATCAACACGGAACAATCCTTTCATTGAATAGACGGGATAAGTTTTTTGTTCACCAGAAGAGGCCCAGAAGTGCACCCCCTTCACCATACCAACTTATAACCGTAAAATTGCCGGAAGGTAGCACTTTCACAATTATTACGCTCCTTCTGATCACAACTTCTTACTTCATTATTAGAATAATTGCTTAACTAAATTGAAAACAATTAAAAAATATAATATAACAAAAGAATCTTACTATCAATTAAAATATTGTAAACGTAATGGATTTTTAGGAGAGGAGATTGTAGACGTGAAATTGACTTCCCAGTCGGTCGAGAGCAGACTCACCAGAAGTGGTAAAAAACGTTTTCCAGGTTATGTTAAGATCATACTTCTACAGGATCATTTCTGTAGTAAATCTTCACAAAATCCGGCTACAACAGTCGAATACCTTAAACCACGATGAGGAAGCGTGGCGTTCTCCCCTGAGCGTGAGGCAGTTTCGGTAGTTCAGTCATTTTGAACTACCAAAACATCGATGACCGTCAGCTTTCCCTTACCAGGGAAGGCGTGGGGGTTAACGCTTTCTGAGTGGTTCTCAAATAATTACGAAAAAATATTAACTAAGGGAAATTTTTTGGCCGAGTAGATTGAAGACACTAACTTACTAAAGCTCAAGTGGTTAGAGCAGCAGTATTGAATCGTGGGTTCGAATCCCGCCGCTCGTGACACTAACTTTTTCATTTCAATCAAAACCTTACATACAAAAATTAATTAATTGAAATAAATAATTTGGTCAATCAGACCACTAAATATAATGGCCAGTGATGGTTGATAATTATGTAGACTTTGTATATTTCATAATTAATTCAATCTAAAATTTATTGGATAAAAATGTTTTCTTTCAATACCAGAAAGAACTGGTATTGAACTTTTTCATTACAAGAATGAAAATTTAAATGATCCGTGAACGAACGACTTGTTTGATGGTATTGAATCATTATTTAAACCGGTAACGCCAAAAGGTTTTTATCATTTATTAAATGAAGTGATAATTTTAATTTGAAGTCAAACAAAAAGTTAAGGCCAATTCGTTTTATGAAAAAGTTGCTACTTTTAATTTACTATCCCAAATTTGTGGTTTTATTTACAGTTATAAAGACCAAATTTAATTCTTTTTGTCGTCTTTAGATTTTTATTTTAATGATTTCAAAGTGGAATAATATCAAGTTACAAGTAGGACGTTTCAAGCACTTCAATTTTTTAGGAGAGGACTTTGTAGATGTGAAACTGACCTCCAAATCGTTCGAGATTGTTTCGGTAGTTAAGTCAATTTGTACTGCCGAAACATCGATGACCGTCAGCTGGGAATGCGTGGAGATAACACTTTTTGAGTAGTTCTCAATTAATTAATACGAACTAGTAACAGTGTATTAACAAATAAGCATTATTTTTATTTTTAAAACAACGCAACAATAAGGGTGGGTCCGGCATGGATCAATGCGTGACACCATTCATTCATACGCCACGGCGAAGCTGGAACATCATGAGCGTGACATCCATCACATTACACAGTTCTATTACTTGTAACGTGTACCGCGTTAGTTTTCGTTGGACGGGATGCATAACAATGCTTTATTTACAACAGGGTATTCCCATCCTACTGTTTCTTCTTATGTGATTGCTATATGTTTGGAGGTCCTGTTGCATGTACGATGTTTGTAGTACGGTAAATGTAATGTTACATTTTACTTAAATCGTACTGTTCCTTCAAACTTGGGACGTTAGTTTGTCCCGTCGTAGGTCTGACAGACCCATTACCGGTCTTGTTTGTTTCTAACCACTATTTTCAGTTTTGTATGTAATTTACTTTTATGTTTATGGTTCTGAGGCATTTCGAGGGTCTGGTGAACAATTCAAGATTAAAATATTCCAGAAAAATACTTTTATTAAAATGAAAATAAATTTTCAAAATAATTTTTATGTTTATCATGTACTTAGTTTAGCACTGTCATTCGTATCAGTCTTTTGACCACTGAAATTATACTTTATATTTTTTATAGTACATAAAAGAATCTATTAGTTTTTTTTCAGCTTTCCCATAAACGTACATGTCGCAAAAGCAAAGGCAGGTAGGTATAGTTAGTTGGTTTGATCTCTTCATCATCAGAAATATCGCCAAAACTAGATTCTTCCTCACTGAGAATAAGTTCAGTCAGCAATTTTATTCAGAGATCGTGAGATGCGGTCTGGTGTGATGTAGGATTCAGAAAAACATTTTCTTTATCGTGCCAATGTTTCGACTTTATTGAGATCATCTTCAGGGCCTGGGATTTACAAATTGTTTAAATTTAACAAATACTTGTAGGATGTGGAAAAAAGTGAATTTATACAATGCAAAATATATTTTCCACTTGCACTGCAATTCACTTTTTTCCACATCCTACATGTATTTGTTAAATGTAAAGAATGTTTGTAAATCCAGGCCCTGAAGATGATCTCAATAAAAGATCGAAACGTTGGCACGATAAAGAAAATTTTTTTTCTGAAACCTACATCACACCAGACCCCATCTCACGATCTCTGAATAATCATCGATTAACGGCCACTAATCACCACTCATTCAGCAAGTTTAAAATTCGTTGTGAAAAATCTGGACCTTCCCTCGCAAAAGTCATGCCGGTTCTCTTGAAGGACCACGTTGATCCATTGTCTCTGCAAATATCAAGATAATAGGTATTCACATTGAAAATTTAGAAAACTAAAACAGACTCATAAAAAAAAGTGTTAGTCTGAGAGACCCATAAAAATATAGGGCTCGTTCAATCTGGGTCTGAGCAACCCGTCTACTCCTTACAAAATAGGTGCCTACCTGATACAGATGATAATTGGGATTCCTCATGGAAGCTCTTCTACTTCTAATTTACATAGGCGCCATTTTTAGTATGGTCATTAGTAAATTTTTAATAATCTTATTTCAGGTTTGTAGCTTGTGAGGGGAAAGGTCTATTTTCACCGATATGGGTATCGAATTCTTTGGACGACAACGTCATCCCGGACGACGATGTCAAAAGCCCGAAAAACGTTTGTTACACGAAGGAATGTAAAGAATCCGGTAATCGCAGAAAGATGATCAGAAATTCAAACATTGTACTATATTTATTTATTGTCGTTTCAAGCAACGGTGCTGGCAGCGAACATGAACCTATCCGCAGATCCCTGCACAGATTTTTTCGAGTTCGCCTGCGGCGGTTGGGTGAGGGCGAACCCCGTCCCAGAGACCGAATCTAAGTGGACCGCGTTATCCCTGATCGAAGAACGTGTAAATCTTCAACTGAAAGGTAATCCGTGTTCGTGATCAGACTGACCAAATTTTAACAAATTGTTTTAAAAGAGATTTTAGAGAGCCCTCCTGATATGTTCGAACCTGGGCCGGTCCAAGCGGCCAAACAGTACTACAACGCGTGCATGGCCGAAGGTGATTGATTTGTATTTTGATTTATCGAATCCGCTATAGATATGAGTTTCTTACAGTTGGCAATTGTACGAAAACGACTGCCCTCCCTCTGCTCAATCTGTTGGAAAAATACGGTGGCTGGCCGATGATCACCAGGCAATGGCGCCCTGGGAACTTCTCCTGGTCGGACATGATCGCCTCCATCTACACAGAATTGTATACCTCGCCGATAATATTTTTGACTATTTACAACGACAAGAAAAATGCGAGCAGATACAAATTGACTGTAAGTCGGAAAACAGTTTCGTTTTGGCCCTGTGTCTTACCTGATAAAATCCGTTTATTTTCAGCTGGATCAAACGACCTTTTATGTGCCGCGTGCGGTTTTGGTGGATCCGAAAACGTACAGCAATAAGATCGCCGATTACAAGGAGTGGGTGGAAAATACGGCTTCGATACTGGGAAAAGCTGCCGGGTCGGAAATTCCGAAAGAGGAAATCGCCCTCCAGGCCGAGGAGATGATCAATTTCGAAAAGGAGCTGGCCAAGGTTTTTATTGTTGAATCTTCTTTAGATAAGTCCCAGCGGCTTGGGCGTGTTCGGCCGGACGTCCGTTTAACAAGCGGCCCCCCATCTTTGTATCAGTTTTTCTTCTGATTCCGAACCGAAAAGTCAGTCTTGCTCAAGCCTTCGATTCTCCTAATGATGAGTTTTCCTGAACAAGCAAATTTTTCAATTTTTCCCCTTTGAGAAAAATCAAATTGAAAAGTCCGTTTGTTCAAGGAACATCATCATTCGATTCGCCGACAAGCCTGCCTCGACTATATTTTTAATGCCTTTATTAAAAATTGTACAAACTTTTGTGAAATTACAGCGGTCCTGACATCGAATTGTTTCAGATCACGAGTACGATGGAAATGAGAAGAAACCCCGAAAGGACTTACAATTTAATGACACTGCGCAAGTTGCAAACATGGACCGACTCTGCTGATCCTAACCAGGTCAGTCTAACGTATTTCCAAATAATTAAAAAATCTCAGCGTTTTAACGAAAAAAAATCCTATTAACCAATTTAAAATCTAAAAACTATACAATCTAATATAAATAGAAACTACAGAAGTAACACATATGTGAACAATAAATAATAGAGAACACTATATAAACTTCTACATAAATACGAGAAATATGTGTACTCGTTTTTCAAAATATTTTTTGAAGCATTTGGTTTACGCTTTAGATTTATCAAAGAAATAAAATTTTATTCACAATTCCAATCATTCACGCTAATAAATATATTTTCACTAACAAATACACTCAAAAACAAAAAAAATTATTTTAATTTAAAAAAAAATCGTATTTTTTGTTTATTTCACACTATACGGACTTTTATCGTTATATTAATTGCTACATTGTTATTTTCATATAAACTAAATAAAACGGGATAAGAAATTTTATTAAGTTAAACAGGTTTAATAAAAAAAATTCAATTATTGTGGTTTGAATGAAAATTCACAACAACAAAAAAATTATTAGGGATAAATTTAATTAATAGTTTGTAATTTAATAGTTGGTGTGTAGAAAGTGAGAGAGATAGAGAGAGAAATCTTAAGANGAAGATGATCTCAATAAAGATCGAAACGTTGGCACGATAAAGAAAATGTTTTTCTGAAACCTACATCACACCAGACCGCATCTCACGATTTCTGAATAATTTTTCTATGAACGGTTTTTTGAATTTTATTTCTGGTCTTGAATCTCACGCAAGTCTATCTGTTCGATAATTTTTGGTTGATGAAAATTATTTCTAATCTCACGATTTAAAAAAAAATATGTTTAAGTAAGTAATATGATTATTTATTTTTTAATGAGCGGTATTATTTTTTAAAAGATCAATTGGCTTTCGTTTTTTCGTCGGATTACCAAAGACGTTGACTTGGAGATAAATTGGAATGAAGAAGTGATCGTCAGAGAGGTAGACTACTTTTTCAAACTCGTCAAATTGATGAAGGCCACGCCTGCGAAGACAGTAGGTAACTGGCGATCCTTGTCTATTTATTTAGAAAATCAAAAAATTATTTGATTCTCCTTTTTCAAGCAAACTATCTCCACTGGTGGGTCGTCATGATCTTCGGCAGCAAAATCAGCCGAGACTTGAAAGATTTGACTTTTAGGTTCGAACAGGCGTTTACAGGAGCCACGGCTCAACGGCCCCGGTAAAATATTAACACCAACAATTTTCTTTCCCAAATTATTTTTTCAGTTTATCATTTGTTCTTTTTTTTTTAAATGTTCAGCTCGAAAAATTGCGTCGAAAATACTAACAACGCTCTGCAAATGGCAGTCGGCTACAGCTACGTGCAGAAGCACTTCGACAAGTCGGCCAAACGGGAGGTGAATTTTTTAAACAAATACATATTTTTTTAATTGATTAAAAAATATTATGCATATTATCAGTGACTGGATGTTGAAAACTGACAAGGGAAAAACATTGCATCCTGTCTTTTATCACAAAACATTTATCGTATTTGAGGATGTTGACTCACTACTGGTATAAAAATAAAGATTCGAAATTAATTTGTTATGTTGAAACAATTGACTAAGACAAGAAAACAACATTAAAAAAACCATACAGTTAAATACCATAGATTTAAACAACGTTTAGTCAACACATGTTCCGTAGTACTTTTTTTACATATCAACGTATAATGAAAATAAGCCGTAAACATCATCATCGGGAAATAATTGGAGAAATAGAGTAATATAATATTGTATAGTGATGCATTTTTAGTTTTCTGTATTTTAACATTATCGTATACGGAAGAATCGACCAACAATCTTGACTGATCATACTCATAGTATGAGAAGAAAGTATCGATCAAGCTAATTAACTTGTCTTGTTTATTTTCATTTATTATAGTATATACTTTATTGTAACAACATTGTTTCTTGGTTGAATTTACAATAAGTCGGGTGCTTATTTATGTAAGGCCCTAATTTACCTGTGACATGATGTGGGATTGGGGTGACAGAGTAAGAGCATGTTCATATTAATTTACAAATAATAAGTATAATGGAGAAAAAAATGTTTACAGTTTAACAAATAGTAGGGATTAAAGCAAAAGGAGTGATTTACATTATTTACAGTTTTTAAATTTTTACATAATAGTCACTAAACACCAAGCCTTTTCAGACGTCGGTTGTTTAGGAGTGATGGTATAAGCAGCAATTTCTCGTAGCAAAGGGTTTGGGTTGGTTGCTTTTACTTTTTTCAGCCTCGTGTAAGTGTTGGTGGCAACGTCGGCTAGCATCGGTATTTTTAAATTAATTAAGGTTTTTAGTTGAGATAAAAAAGTCAGCGTCACGAGCGGGATTCGAACCCACGACCTTCGGCTTGATACGCCGATACTCTACCACTTGAGCTATCGTGACTTCGATCCACTCGGGCACTAACTTCCCATCTCAACCCACCTTTTTCTTAATCCATCTCGTGATACTGACTTTTTTATGTCAACTAAAAACTTTCATTAATTAAAAGATATTAATTGATCAAGCGGACCACGAAAACTAGTGAATTGAATAAGTGAAGTATACTTAGCTCTCCGTGGCCATTTCATTTGTCGCCGAGAATCAAATAGATTACACGACATATGAAAAAGGGCCAAAAGGAGGGAAAATTAAAAAAAAAGTGGATCGAAGTCACGAAAACTCAAGTGGTTAAAGCAGCGGCGTATTGAGCCGAAGGTCGTGGGTTCGAATCCCGCTTATGACACTAACTTTTCATTTAAAAAAAACCTTACGTGAAAAGATTAATTAATTGAAAAAAGTTATTTGTTCAATAGACCACTAAACATAATGGATTATTTTTATTACTCAATTTTACGCGTTATAATTAAATGTAAAATAATAGTATATTGTAGGGAATATAATTTTTATTCAGAGCAGCAAAAATGTGTTTGGATGTAAGAAATATTCAGACCATTTTCTTTTTTCTGAGACGGTTATCAGTAGAGTAGCGGCGTATCTAGCCGAAGGTCATAGGTTCGAATCCCGCTCGTGACACTGACTTTTTTATGTCAACTAAAAACCTTAATTAATCGAACGATATTAATTGGTCAAGCGGACCACAAAACTAGTGAATTTAGTGTGAAGTGTTGTGCTCCTAACATACCATACCTGTCATTAACCTCAGAACCCGATTTTGAACTGTCTGAACCCGTTTCACTTGAGACTTGCTCGCTGATGCCCATATCTCACAGCCATCCGCCCATATTATTGGTCTTACCAGCGACAAGTATATACGTTTCATGTCGAGAGGTAATTTAGACTTTTTGTTGGGAATAAAGTACAACTGCTTGATTCGGTTTCAGAGTTGATGTACTGTAAGGCCAATATGTATGTCAAATATAAGTTTTTGGTCATGGTGTAACCGGAGGTGTTTAATCGAGTTTTGTTGTTGGATGTCTTCCCCTTCGATTTTATCACTGAAGTGAAAGCAGTTGCGATTATTTCGTATTAAACGTCACCCTCCACTTTTCACACCAGATAATTGCGAAGGACTGTGCTGTACGTAATTATTTAACTTGGTAACATACCTTAGTCGTAATTGTCGTTGTAAAAAAGGTAAATCTGAGCCACCAGCCGCCAAAGCCGCAACATCATAACAACAATGTAGAGTAATGGACCCCATCCGCTTCCTTTACTCGGCTTGTGAATCATTATGATGATGGCATATTTCCAAGCTGTTGGGAAGCAGCCCAGTTTGATAATTGTATTATATGCTTGAGTTGAACAAAACCTTTCCTCTTCATGTTTTTTTTAGGAGCGGTTGGACGATCATATCGTGAGCAGGAGATTTTTTGGTCGGAGAGCGCGCGATAGCATTTTTAACCTGCACTCGAGAGAAAAAATCGTTGAACGTTAGTTGCAAGCTTTCTTTTACTATTTCTATGACTTTATCAGTTTTGATTTATTGTTACATTTGATTGAAATTGCTGCTCTAATGTGTCGGCAAAGATCTCACATTTTTCTGAACTGGAGGAATAATACGGTGTTTCCAATTTTAAGAGGTGATATATCACTACTCTCTTTTGTGAGAACTTTTTTTCCATAGTGGTCTCGTCTGAGTGTCCAGCAAAGATAATTCTTGTTCAGCAGCTTTGTTACTCACCTCATGAAAAGCTATTTTTAACTCACGAGTCGCTCTGTTATGTGCTGTTTTGTGGTCGGGGCACCTGGTGCGTTCCCAAAGTTTACGCGCTTTTTTCGTTTCCTGTAGTAACTTTAAGTGCTTTGGGGATATTGGCTAATTAAGTTAATGGTATTTTGGATCACCTGAACTTGCATTGGCAGCTATCTGGATATTTTGGGTAACACATTTTAGTTATTATCAAAACGTATTAATTTTTTTCTAGCCGACAACTGACAAAACTTGGCTCACCCGAAGGAGGGCCTGGCGAACATTCATTTTTGCAGGAACTTCTAGGACTCTATTATAATTTTTAATTGGCCCACGCGTGGTGAGAAGGCTCTTTTACTCATGTACATACCATATGGCTGAGTACATGCTAACCATTCACGCTAATAAATGCATTCATTCAGGATGATAAAATAACTAGCCTAGGCTGTGGGTCTTTGTCACTCTAAATTCCGCCACAGGCCCATTCATTCACTTAAACACTCACGTTGATAAACACATTAGTTCGAGATTGGAAAAACCACGTAGTTAAAGCCATCAAATGCGACTATGCATTTATCTACTTCTGATGACTTTCCTCCTCTTGCTTAAAATGCAAATGTGGTCCTCATTGAATATACCCAGGTTATTTAGATGTTTTCTCAGATGCCAATGACCGGCAAATAGACTTATCACTTCTGCGAGTTTATGGTTTAGCTTTATCCCTCTCTAACTAGCAGTGAGTGTTGGTGAGGGTTGTTTTAACATAAGCAACTCTAGAGTTTATCCACTTCTCCTTTTGTCTTTTTTGGTTTCATTCTGAGAAAACTTTCCAACATCAATTTTTTCAATATTTTTTGCCATCGATTGGGCTCACAGGAGTCTCCGAGTTATGCGGCATCATTGCCGCTCGTTAGGCAGCCCTGTTTATTTTCTTATCTTCTATGCCACATGGCCCGGAATCTAGGCAATAATAATTTCAAAAATTTTCTTTCCTACTGCCTGGATTAGTGGGTTTACCATTCATGTTACAATTCATGTTCATGTCTTCTTGTGGATTCACAATTTTCAACCCGTCAACTTTTATCAAAACAATAACTATAAAGGATGAGCAATGTAAAACGTCCGTTCGCCGATAGCTTTTTAATTGACAAATAATTGACAAAAAATGGCTATGCTTAAATGAAATTTTCAAAAAGGCCATGGAAATATCGGAGAACATCAAGTCCGCCTTCAAGGAGGAAATCGACAGACTGAGCTGGATGGACGGGCCGACGAAAAAGGCGGCCAAGAAGAAAGTGGAGATGATGACCCAGAACATCGGCTATCCGCCCTGGTTTGCCAATGTTTCCGCCTTAGAACAGTTCTACGACGGGGTAAGAAAACAAAATCCCATTTCACCGTGAAAACGACATTTTTTAAATGATTTTCATTTTAGCTGGAAATCGGCGATTTGCTGTTTCAAAACGAAATCAACGTGAGGAGATTCAAATTCAAGAAGTCGATATCGAAATTAATAGCAACTAATAAATTAACAGAGTGAGTATTTTAAAATAATTATTTGAAATGTTTATTATCTCGCCTAAAGCGCGTGCAATTTGCACGTCTAAAAGCTCACTAGCTCGTTCATATTATTTTTCTTCCATTCATTAACAAAACAGAATGTATTTCTAAAGGCCAGTCAAGCATACTAGAATAAATTTAACACATGAGAATCTTATTCTTCGTTTTATTTTCCAGCTGGCTCGTAAGTCCGGCTGAAGTCAACGCCTTCTACAACGCCCAGTGGAATTCAATCAGTAAGTAAAACAAAAATAAATTCTTTTTATATCTAAACGGATTTATTATCCTTAACATGCATAATTCACGCCAATTATTTTTTAAACTTTTAAATAAAAAATAAATGTACAGGGTGTTTGGCTACTCGCTTACAAACTTTGCCACTAGTAGATTCATTCAAAATGGAACCACAAAGGCCTAATTAACTATCTCAACAGTTTCAGAGTTATTCCCCTTTTTCTGATTTTTAGGATGTTTCAAATAAACAATGATAATTCCAAAACTGAAAGGATTTGGACAAATCTATTGTTATCATTGAAGACTTCGTTAAATTTCAAATAAAATGAGATCAATACTAAACTTGCAAACTTTGATATCATAAGCGTTTTAGTAGCTAGAACGTTGAAAAATATATTTTTTCTAATAACAAACTTTTTTGTGTAAGGTTTGGTTGAAATGAAAAAGCCAGTGTCAGGGGCGGGATTCGAACCCACGACCTTTCGCTCAATCCGCCGCGCTCTAACCACTTGAGCTATCGTAACTTCGATCCGCTCGGGCACCAACTCCCCATCTCAACTGACAACCTTCCGAATTTTCCCTCCTTTTGCCATTTTTCATTGGATCGAGGTCACAATAGCTCAAGTGGCTAAAACAGTGGCGTTTTGAGCTGAAGGTCGTGGATTCGAATCCTGTTCGTGACACTGGCTTTTTCATTTCAACCAAAACCTTACATAAAAAAGTTGGTTAATTGAAAGAAGTAATTTGGTCAATCAGACCACTTAATATAATGGTGTTTTTTCAAAGTTGAAAAACTTACTATGGTGATTTTAAACTACTATTTTTTAGATACCAGCAAATTTTAAAAAACAGTACTCCATTTAATATACTTTTTAGTGGTGTAATTTCTTTTTTAATTACTTTTTTCAAAGATGAAGAAATTGACGAAGGAAAGGAAAAAAAACCGTAGTTGACGGATTGGTAAGGTGGAAAGATTAATAATAATAAAAAATAAAACAACTTAAGGAAATGTTGAATGAATTTATTAAACTTAAACTTTTTCAACTTTGAAAAAACAATTATTTTTGAAAGTTCTGGCTACTAAAACGTCACCAACGTTTATTAGTTTAGTTTGAGTACATCTTATTGGAAATTTAACGTAGTTTTCAATGGTATCAACGGATTTGTCCAAAACCTTTTAGTTTTGGAGGCATCATTGATTATTTGAAGCAAGGTCGTGAAATCTTAAAAAATCAGAAAAAGTGAAATAACTCCGAAATTGCTGAGATTCGTACCATTGTTAATTAGGACTTTTTGGTTCCATTTGTAATGTAGACTCCACTGGCAAAGTTGTACCACGAGTAGCCGAACATCCTGTTTAACATAATACAATAAATAAATTTTATGTTCTAACGGGGTTGTACCATCCAAAACAATACGTTTTACATATTTCAAAAATGTTTTCCCATAAAAAAGATACTAAAGAGAAATTTACATGACGGCACTGCACTGGTGTATCTTTAAATATTGAGTATGGATTGACCACAGATGATTTGTAAGAAAATCAGGTAATGGTCAATTGATGGATTGTTCGATAGTTGAAAGGAGTTACAAAAACGAAATTGATGGTCGGGAATTATGTTTTGAGAGTTTAGAGTTCGAAATTTTTTTTTTATAGGAGCTTTAATAAATTTTTGTTTGTTTGTTTAAGGAACATTCGTATATACGAGTGTTTCCATGCTATACGGAAAAGGTTGTTCGAAGAACAGATGTAAATAGATATGCAAATATGCAATGATGGCTTTTTTGAGTTGGAGGGTTTTAGGAGTAATAAAGTCAAAACATGGAGCTTCCTTTGATTTGGGAAGTTTTATGGCAGAATGGATGTCAGAGGGTGAAAAAGCTTTGGAGGGAGGAATGGAATAGAGGGGTTTAAATATTACACCTATTTATTTATTACATTTTACACCTTTTCGAAAATATATGAGAATTTTTGTTAGACAATGTAATAAGAATAAAATAACTAAATCAAAAGTACAGGAAGTAATAAGACATAAAATAACAAAAATAAGCCTAAGCAATGAATAGCAAACCTTTCATTTTGTAATATATTTGAAAATGTTATAAAAAGATATGTTTTCTTGAATTTCTAGCATTCCCTGCTGCCATCCTTCAACCCCCGTTATTCCAGAGAGGCAGGATAGAGTAAGTGTAGATCGAAAGGGATTTATCCTCATTCTCATCCTCATTTTATTCGCTGTTCCAGAGCATTGAACTACGGAGCAATCGGCTCCGTGATCGGCCACGAGATCACCCACGGGTTTGACGACGTCGGAAGGCAAAGCGACGCCTCGGGCAACCAAGTCCAATGGTGGTCAGAGAAAACAATAGAAACCTACATAGAAAAGGCCCGGTGCTTCATTGCCCAGTACGGCGAGTACAGGGTGCCCGTTCTGGACGACATCCTCCTCAAAAAAGCCACGGCAAGTGAACCTATCTCAATATCAACATCCTATGCAAATATAACACTTTTCAGGGTTTTCAAAAAGTTGACTGTTTTGGGTCATGGTTTGTAGTCAAAATTTTGAATCCAGTTTTTAGATATAGTATAAATATGGATATTGTAAGTAAATCTCGCTAACTCATTGAAAAAATTTAATGAAATGGTGCGTAATTATTGAACTCTTAGTCCTTGATCTTTTTATCAAAATCTGATATAGCGCAGTTGTTAGGAACTTCGTAGAATTATCGAAAAATTTGAACTATAACACATTTCATTAAAATGAAACGCAAAAATTTAATGAAACTGTCTATAATTGATTAAAGTTTAGAGCTTTACGGGAATGCAAACGGTGTCCACGAAAATATTAACGAATTAACAACACTACTATATGACAGACGAGCTCATATTGCACTTATACAGAAACTCAATTGACGAAACGCAAAAATTACACGTATCAGGATAGGAGACGTACAGAACTAACTATCCCGATGGTAGGGTCAATGAGGTACTGCAGTCCAAATCCACAAAACCCTGTCCTCCGTATACTGTCCTCCCATCGGTTACGCCAATCTAAGTTGAAGAATTCTTTGGATCTGTTGGGACTGACTCTCTGCACTCTCCTCTATTTTTCCTGATACTCTCCTGATAATTTAGATCATCTCCACTGATCAATATCTACACTCCACGATCTCTCCTCAGACCACAGCCCTGTTCTCCTTGCCTTATCCCTCCCTCTCTCCAATACCTAAACTAAAACGAGGATCCTTAATCACTGCCTCTATAAATTAGGATGCTTTCCAAACTGAAAACTCCACAGACCTAAATCTCCTTACAAGCTTTTGAAGAGCTGGATGAGTTGATGATTCTCTTCACCACTGCAGGTTTGAACCTCAACAGTAGTCCCAAATCCTCTATAAAACCAAACCACCCCATCACACCTTGCAAACTTGGGCTTACTCCGACTAATGTCCTCTTGGGGCGGGAGTATGTCGAGGCAGTTCACATGGACCGATCCTTTACCTCCTATAACCGCAGATATACAAACTGCACCATCCTTGCCACCCTTTGCCGGCATAGATGTGCTATCCTCTCATCCCAATTCCACAATTGCTTCGGAGGAGCTACAGGTACATGTCCTTAAAATAGCAAACTGGCGTGTAAAGCTCAATGAAAGTAAAAGCACGCAATACATCATTCATCCTTCGAAGTACAACCCTCTCATACAATATTCCCCAAGAATATTCCCATCCCATAAACAGACTGCGTTCACTACCTTGGGTTCCATCTAGACTCAAGACTAACCTAGATCCAACACATATGACTAAAACAACTACTGTCAGGCAAATCTAACGTTTCAACAAAATACAAACTGTTAATCTAGAAGACAATCCTAAGTGCAATCCTAAAGCCAATCTAGACAAACGGACTAGGACAGTGGGGTATCGCTAAGCCTTACAACATCCAAAGAAAACAGTCTTTTCAATCCAAATACCTCAGAATCATAGTCAATGTTCCTTACTACGTCTCGAACAACTTGAGGTGTTGTTTTCCTCTAGTACAAAAACTAATCCCCAAAACATTTTCCAATTTCCACAACAAATTCTCTTCTCACCTCAGTTGCCCATACTTAATCTATAGAAATCACCTTTATAAGCCCACCAGAGGACTGAAAATGAGATGGCCTCGCACGCACTAAACGAGGATTAATCCTTGCTGGTTATAGTTTGGAGAACAGCAATGATTATTAACTCGCCTCACGACACATGACATTTGTAAATTTAACTCATTAGACGTTAAAGGGGATTTCATGCTTCAGGGTTTGACCGGAAATTATCTCGGGCTTCTGGTAAAATATCTCATTTGTATTTTTTTTTACATTTAAAGTTTCAACATTTAAATATTTCGATTTGTTTTAATGTGCATATTGATCAGATGACCTTGTTTTGATTAATGATCAATTTTTACCAATCGCTAATTTTGCCCCCTCTTATAACGATGCGACGATTATTTAGTGAGAAATATCGATATTTTTATAGATGTACTATGTTCTATATTCTATGATGAAATATCGATGTTTTTCTTATACAGTTGAACGGCGTAACGACTTTGGGTGAAAACATAGCAGACAACGGCGGCCTCCATATAGCCCTGCTGGCGTATAAGAGGTACGTAGCGAAGAGAGGAGAAGAGCCAAGGCTACCTGGGCTTGAGGTATTGTCTCCCGATCAGATTTTCTTCATAGCGTTCGCCAATGTAAGGGCCGATGACCTTTTTCACCATTTGATAAAAGTTTGAACGAGTGATCGTTTACAGAACTGGTGCTCGACAAGCACGAAGAAGTCCCTCTTGGAAAACGTGCTCGACAGTTTGCACAGCCCGTCCCATTTCCGCATCATCGGCAGTCTACAGAACTCGAGGGACTTCGCTAAAACTTTCGGCTGCCCCCTAAGAAAAAATAAATGCACTTTGTGGTAACTTTTGTTGTACTGATTAAATAAAATTTCTTTTTTTTATAAGAAATATATTTTATTCACTCCCTTTGAACAGTTTAGCCTTCAAATGTTGTTCAGGTTGGCAAACAGGTGTTACATTTACAGATAAGGTTTTCCAAAGTTCAATGAGCAATTGTCTAGTTATATCTCTTATTTAATGGACGCAGATAGTTTGAAGTCCGGAGAAAGGCTAAGGAAGTGCAAGACTCCTACATTCTTCTGAGTCAAGTAGCTTCACTTCTCTACTATTCGCGCTGATCCGATGAACCAGCCTCCATCAGAACATCAGATCGCAGCACTGACACGGCTGCGGAATCCGACGGCCCAGCCGCTACCAGACCAGCAAATCGTAGCGCTCACACGGCCTCAAGATCCGACGACCCGGCCACCATCCGAACAGCAGATCGTATCGCTGACCCGGTTGCGGAATCCGACGACACAGCCGCTACCAGACCAGCAAATCGTAGCGCTGACACGGCCTCGGCATCCGACGACCCAGCCACCATCAGAACAGCAGATCGTATCGCTGACACCACCTCGAGATGCGATGCCCCAGTCACCATCAGAACAGCAGATCGTATCTCTGACACGGCTGCGGAATCCGACGACACGGCCGCTACCAGACCAGAAAATCGTAGCGCTTGCACGGCCTCGGCATCCGACGACCCAGCCTCTACCTGACCAGCAAACCACCACCGCTAACAGCTCTAGGATCGGAAGTGGAGGAACACTAAGTTGTTATAGGTGATTCTCGGTTAATAAAGTGTTATTTAACCTTATTTTCGAATTTCAGGAACATGGTCCTTCTCATTCTATATTTGATTTTCTCTTGGAGCAATTAGCACGGGTTTTGGATTTGTTGGGCTTGCCATTTTTATGGCCATTCATAACTTTTCCGACAGAACTTCACCAACAATTTCCATTAATAAACGGCTGATAATGTTAGTTCCACTAACATACCTTTTGGCAGTTTTCCAGATTTCCAACTTTTAATTTGGCTAAAAGACATCTAATGTTATAATAAAAATAGATCTAAATGTACCTTTTCAAACGCAGCATTGAAACCATCATTCCATGATATCCATTTTTATTATCCATTAGTTACCCATTTGCCTTCTCACTTTTTTCCTTTAAATTCCTTTAATGTAACTTTGTTCAAAACTTAAGTTTGGAGCAAAGTTACTTTTTACCAAAATATGGTTAATGAAAATAAAAAAAGAATTTTTCTTATTTCAAAATTGCTTCTTTTGTTCCCACTTTTTAGAGACGGCACGAACATTGTGGTGAACAACAAGAAATCTCCATTTGCCAAAAAGTATATACAAAAAAGTTGTTAAAAAAAATATATAGCAATACATTTTTTAACAAATTATTGTATGGAATTTAAAATGTATAAATAAATTGCTGAAAAAATAAACGTGTTTTTTTAAACAGCTGTTCTTGAAACTCCATCACAAAATAATTCCCGACTATATTGTCAGAAAGTAGTTTTAGATGAAATTACTAGTTGTTATGTGAAAAAATATGGTATTGAAATTATTTCCGAAGAGAGAAATACAAAATGTGTAATCAGCACAAGTATGGCCATAGCGAAAAAGGTAAGTCAGCAAGTAAAATATCAACTTTGAATCCGAGTAGAAAAATATTTTAATGATTTTCCGAATAGAACGTGCATATCCGGAATGTATTTATAAATGTAGGTTTTTTATAACTAAAACACCAATGTTAGTTTTTATGCCATGCAATTTGCATTTCGGACCAGGTTCCTGGCCCTTCTTCAAGCTGTTATTTGAGCTACATAGAACTGAATAGAAAATAGTTCCATTTAGCTCAAATAACAGTTTTGAAGAGAGACCAGGCACGTAGCCCGAAATGCACAGCGATAAAAACGTACGTCATAAAAAAATAATACGAACACTAGATGAAGTAATGGTCTTGAAGAAGAAAGCAAATTTAGGTTCTACTGCCAAGCTTTCTTCCTATTTTAAGGCCATCATCAGGTCAAAACAACTTTAAAGATGTCTACAGATTGACATATTTTTTTACAGGCGATATCAAATTTTCAATTTTCAAAGTTCAGGGACAAAATGCAAACCCTACCAAATTACGAAAAGATATACAAAGAAATTAATAAGGTTCCCACAAAAAAGGCAATTTGAGATGCTCTGTAAAAACTTATGTCAATCTGTAGACATCTTTAAAGTTGTTTTGACCTGATGATGGCCTTAAAATGCGTCGAAAACTTGTCAGTAGCAATTAAATTTGCTTTCTTCCTCTTGACCATACCTTGATCCGGAGTGTTCGTAAGTGAAAAAGTGGTCAATACTTCTTATAATTAAAATAAAAAATAATATTGGTTTTTTAGTTAAAAGGCCAACAGCCTAGTTTATAACACGTTTTAACACCAATTTTTTTTTTAAACGAATAAATTATTTAAATTGCAAATTCAGATAAAACATTAACTATATGTTGATCAATCAACAACCCATACAAAAAATATTGCGTAAGTAAATAGCAAGCAAATGTTATGTATAAAACTTGACCCCTACAATACTACTTTTTAAAAAAAAGGAAATGTCTGAATCCAAGATAGAAAAAAAGAAAGAGCGGTATGGATTCTCCTTGAAGGACTCCCCCATTTAATATAAGTCTAGAACTGGCAAAGCTATGTAAATTTCTAATTAATCTAATTATTTTGCCACTGTTTCAAGTGAGGGCAATTTGCTACATGGGAGATCATGCCGAAGTTACCAAATGTTTTTTGAAAATAAATTAAAGTTGCAAATAAATATTTTTTCTTGTGAATGTACTGATGAAAGATTATAGATAATGAAAAGGTTAACAATGCAAGATTTTTTTTGCAGAAACCAGTTTTTTCCCCAGGAATATTATGATCACTTAATTCATTACTCTCTGATAATGGAAGTAAACAGCTTGCTGCAAGTATTAAATAATACAATGCCTTGTACTTGCCTGAATCATTCTTTTTGCCTTTTTTTGTATATTAATGTTAGCGTCACCTTGATCATTGTGCTGGAATATTTTCCCACCTAAAATGATCGTATTAAATAAAATAAATTATTGATTATTTAGTAAGGGATGCCCTACATTATTTAACATAATAATGTCTTTATTTTATGGTTTTATGGATTATCACCTTTGTTTATATTTGATATTATCGCAATTAAATCCTTAATTATCCCATACATTTGTGTAAAACCGCATGTGCCTTTAACATTTCTTTTAAATGTCAACAAAATGTTGCTTGGAAATTCTTTATTAGTGCCATGCCCACTTGACCAAGCTGTATACAAAAAAAAAAAAGCAAAAATTTTAAATATAAGCATTAAGTGTTGTAAAATAGGCCTCACCGAGCTCACCTTGCACTGCGGACTACATAATGTAGAATTGTGATTGTTTTCTATGCTTGAAGGGATTATCTTATGTAAATTTAAGCATAGTAGTAATAAGGCAAATTAGTGAGACTAGCCAGATAGTTACAGGATATCCAAAATGCATATCAACCCTTTTTTTACACAATAATTTGTTGTGTGTGTGTTAAACAGGATGTTGCGCTGAAAATAAGGCTTGACAATCTCGAAGCAGAACTCAAAAACCTGCATGCCACCATCCTACAGAAGCGTTTGAGCAGACATTCTCTACACCAACAGCCAGTGAAAAGCTCAACGAAGCCGGAGAAACCGCAATCGGGCACTGTCGGTCGAGTGTTTTATCAAATCAGGAAAGATAAATTAAAAGGCTCAAATTTTAGATAAAGACTTGCCAAAAATTATGGTCGAAAGATGGTGCCAAGCAAGAAAGAGAGGATGGAAAGGAATGGTACTCTTGCTTGCAAAGCATAACTGACAGCATAGCTAGAGGTAACGAGTACGCTTTGATCTCACTTTATCTTTAACCGACTTGACCAAGTTCGTTTTGTTGTTTGTTAATTCTGTATTTCAGGCAGTAAAGCTATTAGGACAATCGCGAGTTTGACTAATGATTCAAACTCTTCAAATTCGAATTCTGTTTCAGAGGTAAATCAGTCAGGCCTGACAGCCCTTTCCGGTTAGTCAATGACAAAACATTATTTGTTTCAGAATAAGAATAAAGAAGAATTATTAACCATTTCGGACAACACCTTGGAAGGCATTACGGATGCTGTTTACGAAAACAGAGAGGTATATGTCACAAGAAGTTATAGCGAATATTGAAAAAATTAGTTGACAATTTTTTATTTAGTTAGATACCCCCAATAGTGTAAGAGTACCACAACATGGAGCTTTGAGAAAAGCTGCAAGTCACCACGTAACAGAAAGTGTAAGTAAATCCTACAATTTACTCTTTTATTATTATAATAATAGAAAAGGGGAAAAAAGCCTAAAGAAAAAAAGACACAAATCAAAAAGAATAAAGTATGACAACTAGGCTTGGATAATCTCTTATTTACAGTCTTGTTTGTCAAAACTACTACAATAAAATATTCTAGCTATTTGTTCTTTATAGAACAATTTTTGATCAACCATGGTGATAAGCCATGATCATATTTAAAAAGCTACTCCTTGGTTCCATATAGAGAGCATGTAGGAATGCCACCTGATATAAGAATCGTGTTTGAATATGGCAGCGACTGTCTGGTTTGCTTGTTCTGATTTTTGGAGAAAACTGGGTTGTTTATTGTATACAGTGCCGATAGTTTTGTGACCTTAGTGTGTGTTGAGAGTGAATGTATTTATTGGCATGAATGTGTAGTATGAGAGGTCGATGGTATATATTAAGTTCCCATCGACCCTCAATATAAAACAGGTGTAAAGGGTTATTGAAGAATATTGAGTAATTAATTAATATTAAGAATACAAATGCAATCAACAAATCAGAATTTTACAAAAACAATTATTAAAAATGAATTTTGACCTTTTACTTCTAACCACGAATTTTCCAGGTTTTATTTGTAAAAACATAAAATGACTCAGACAAAAGGTCGGTGAACCTTGTACAACATACAACTTGTACAAGAGAGGCAAGACCAGAGGCACTACCTCACAGAGTGTGATAGGTATGCTAGGATTTGAAATCTTTGAAGGAGCGGACATCATCAAATCACTCCTCGAGATAAAATGGCTCAAAATCTTGGGGTTCATGAACAAGTCCAAGAGATTTATGCAGGACACATGAGCCGACCAAGTCCCGGACCTTTTAGGAATGGGGTACGAGTCTACCCAGGCATTTAACCCCTCAGGTCTTCGTCGCCCACCCTGCGTAATATATAAGGCCAGAGAAGATGTACTAGTATTGAGAGTGAATGTATTTATTTACGTGAATATGCAGTATGAGAGGTCTGCTGGCAGAATATTCAGCACTCCATTGAACGTCAATTAGGTTAGTTTTTGCCTTAGTTAGCCTATTAGTTAACCTAAAGTTAAGTTAGCCAATACTCAAGTGTTGCCATGACAAATCATAAGCTCAATTCTTTATATACCTGCAGAATTGCGGTTATATGAACAAACCAATCAATCTATGAAGAAATATACAATCCAATTTGAGCCTTGTTTGCTGATGTCCTTTCATTACTAAATCAGCCATCTTATCTAATTTGTAATAATAATAACTGGTAATCTTTACAATTGCTTGTGTACCGAGTTTGAGTTGAGAGTATTTATTAGCGTGAATGTGTGATATGAGAGGGTGGAATATTGAGTATCTATCGACCTTCAAATAGGTTAGTTCTATAATTTTGTTTGAAGGTTGTGTTGATAAGAAATGTATTTATTAGTGTGAATGTGTGATGTGAGTTGATAGTGGAATATCGAGTACCCATCGACCCTCAATTAGGTTAGTTGTATAATACCTGTAGAGGGTGATGGAGGAATATCGAGTACTCCACCACCCTAATTGAATGAATGAGGAGAAAAAGTATTTAAAAATAAGTAAGTGTGAATTGGTTGCGTTGGGTGCTGAATTGACCTAGCTGTTGGTAGTACCCAGAGAACCTCGGTAGCTGGAAAGTTTCGACTGAGGTCAGACCCAGGACTGCCAACAACCAGGTTGGGTGAATTGAGGTCTGCCTGCAATTTATTATAAACTGGAGTTACTGGATCTTCTCTGTACGTTCATGCACAGATTTGCAATTCAGTAACTTCAGCAAGGACCAACAGAATAATGTTCCATCAGCTCACACGTTCAAGCAAATAAATACAATCCCTCTTACATCTAAAACAAAACATTGCATAAGTAATAACGGAAGATACAGATTTCATCTAAAATGACATTGGCAGAAATATTCTACTCATCCCAAGTTTTTATATCAGGTGGCTTGACATATTTAAACTATGCACAAAAGTAATTTCTTCGCAGGCGAGACCTCTGCTTACACTATGAATCCGCCTTCAAATGGTCTATTCTCTACCTATGCTACCTAATGATGCCAATGATACTTTCATTTTTACTAAAAATTGTACTTCTGAAAATGCTAAATAATTTTTGGTCAATTGTTACTAGTGTTTATTACAAATTAAAAAATAATAAAAAAATATTCTGGTAAATTCTTCATTCTTGATGTAAAATGTGTAGATTTGTGTTTTTTTTTATACTAATTTTGTTTTTATTATTTATTAATTATAATCCTTAATAAAGTTTAATAATTAAAATAAAAGTTAATAAAACAAACATAAAGAAAGCAAACATAAACAGACAACTCAAACAGACTTGCAGACATAAACAAGCACACTAGAACTTCATACACAGAAAAACATACTTAATAAAATATTGTATGAAATTTATAGAAAAAACCGATTCGTAAAGTGAAAAGCTCGGGTAATGAAAATACAGCAGCTATGTCGTCGTATCAGGTGAGTCAGGTTTTATGATTCCACAGTTTCACAGTTATGAAAATTTTTATTGATTCAGTCACTGAATGATTGCAAGCTGCAGTTGTTGAAGGAAAACCACATGCTCAAACAGAAACTGGTGTCCATGAACAACATAGTTGACGAGGTGAACGATTTGAAAAAGGTAAATTGTTTGCCTGTGCAAAATATTTTACACTCATTTTTTCCTTTTTTTTAAACATATACGTATAAAAAAAATTGGTTTTGTCACAGAAACTAAAAGAAGAACAGGCGAAAAGAACAGCTGCAGAAAAGCTGAGCAAAGCTGACAAAAACACTTCAGCCATTGACATAATAGAACCACCCGTAAAGACAAATAGCCAGACAAAAAAAATGATGCAGCTCCAAAATGTGATTACCTTTCTTAGCACCCAACAGGACTGTTTTTATGTTTTGCATTTATTCAGGCATTTTTTAAATTTAAATAATTATAAATTAATATTTACAGATGTGTTTTTGTAAAAAAATCAATGTTCAGGTGCTTAAATCCAAAATTAAACTTTTTCTAAATGTTTGATCATCAATTAGGGGATGTTTTTTTTCTAAATTAATCAAGTTGATTATCAAACTAGGTCATTTGCAAATATAAATTTTTCAATATTGTCTCCTTCATTTACTTGTTTATTAATTTATTTTTGACAGGAATTAAGAGATGAGAAAGCGCGAAGAATGAGGGCAGAGACGAATTTAATGGAACGTTCGACTTGCAACAAAGCTACAAACAGTCCTGGTTTTTTTGAAAATGCTGACTTTATGGAAAAAGTCAAATTAAAAATGGTTAAAACAAGTTTTAGAAAACTATTCTGTTATGTATTTATTTTTTAAACACAAATTGTTTAAACATTTTTAGGAATACATAGAGGAGAAACAAAGGCGAGAGGAAGTTGAAAAAGAGCTTATGATGGTACTTGAAAAGTTGGAGGAGAGCGAATACCGTTCTATGGACCTTGCTGAAAGTAAAAAAATTGCTCTGGCCATGGCAGATAAGTTTCGTCACAAATGCGAATCGTACAGCAATTTACAGCTTGACAAAGGAGGAGGCGTGAGTACATAGTTTCTTAGTTTAAGGTTAAAAAGTACTGACTGTAATTGTTCCAGGATATCGAGTTAGCCACAGCATTGAGAAACCAGCAACATCAGAACGTTCAACTCCTCAACGAGCTGAGAGATCTCAGAGGAACGCAGGAGTGCAAGATGTACGAAAAGTATAAAAAGCTGGCCGATTCTTTGCAAGAGGAAGTCGATTTTCTGCGGAACAATATGAAGTAAATTACAATAAGTAAATGGGAAACGATCTAACGAGAAAGTAAATTTTGGAAGCTTGTCTTTCAATTAATTGACAGATTATATTATTAAAGGAACCCATTGGAAGATCCAAAAGTTAAAGCCCTTGTTGAAAAACACAAAATCGCTTACGGGGAGCTGCTTCTTGCAAAAAATGCAATGGAGTCAGAGTACGAGGAAAAGTTCCGAACTTTTGAAGATGAACTTCAAGGACTTCAGGATATTCATGATTCCAAGTAACGATCTTTTTTTTTATTTTTTATTTAAGTTTTTAATTAACAGTGTTAATATTTTTTTAAAAGAGTTTTTGAGCTGACTGGGATCATTCAAAACTTGAAAGTAAAACTTCAAGAAAAGAATGAATGTATAGCCAGTTTCAATTCAGAACAAAGTGCTTATAACGATGCAATTAAAAGGATTAAAAGCAGGTATGGACATTTTATGTACGTTTACTCGTAATTTTAATATCGGGTCTAATATTCACATAACGCCTATTATGCCGTAAAAATTAGTGCTGGAGATCTCAGTGCAATAAACAAACAGCAAGATGACATAATCAAGGTTTTAAAAGAGAATATTGCAGAAAAGGTAAAATGTTCAATTATATTTTCAAAATTTTTATGAAAAATTCTTATTGTTATTTTAGGATAAAAGTTTAGAAGTCATGGAGCAAGAGTTAGCTAGCATGCACGAGGGTTCTGAAACTCTCAGAAAAGACGTCAAGGATTTAAGAACAAAACTCAACGAAGCTATAGGCGAAAATAACATGCTGCAGTATGTTTTCTGAGCAAGAAAGCTTAAAAACCTCTATTAATAAGGTCTCAATTTATTTCAAACTCCATTTCTAGCGATGAGTTGAAGAAAGGTCATGACACCGTAGTCATCAAAGAAAAGATAATTATCGACCAGTTAGATACAATCAAGTCTCTTAGGACTATGGCGGACAACTCGAACAAAACCATAACTGATCTGAGGAAAGAAAGGGACAACCTTTTGAATAAACTGACTGTCTGTCTTTTGAATTTTTTTAAAACCATAATAATTCATTAATTCGTTGTATTTTCAGGAGATCGAAGAGATGAATAGAAATTTACAAGATACAGTGCAATCCGTTCAGGATCAGGTGAACGAGCTGGAAAAATATAAGGAAGGGCAGGAAAAGAACGCGCACATTTTGAAACAGCTAGAGTCTCAGGTACAGCTCAATATTTTGAACCTTTGTTAAAATTGTAAGCACTAAAGGCTGGTTTGGGCTATGCCAGTATTTCAGTTGACTATTGCTTTTCCATCACCCATAGGCTTTGTTGTCCTCTTCCCTTTAGTACATGTAACTCATAGTATCCTCCCTTTTCCTCCGACACCAAGGAGACAGAAATCGCATCTGGCTCTTTTTACCACAAGGCATACTTATCATCAAACCAGCTCTTGTCCTTCTGACCTTTACCCTCTTAGCAGAGAACTACTGCGTTCAGTCACACTTTCCTCATTTGTGCCTTCAACTTAAATAATTCCCTTCCACCAATTCTTAACCTTAAATTTAGCACCAAAAAGTCTTGATTGTCCTTTTTTAGTTTCATTTCCATTGCAGAGTATTTTTAACCTTATATGAACATATTTTCGTATAACCTTACCAGGCCTAAATCATTGCATATAAGTGGTATTCTTAATTAATTATTCAATTTGAGTCCCAGAATAAATTTATTTTTCGTTTATTTGCAATTTTTTTCATCTTGAATATCTATTTTTAAATTAAAATCCCATAATCTTTAGGTGTTCCAGAGGCAAAAAGAATGGGAAAGCAACATCGCACAGATGTGTAAAGAGAAGGACCAAGCTATACAGACAGCCAAGTAAGATTTTTTTTTTAAGGCTACGGCCTTTCGGTCATTTTTGCCTTGAGTCTTTCAAGGGTGGGGAGTCACATGTTCAAGAAGTACAATTTATATTTCACCAATTAAGCCTGCCTCTGACAGGAAATCAAAGACAGCGTCTAAATATGGGGATTGATCGCTCAATAATTCGGATATGTTGTTTGGGAAGTGGTGTGATGTGCGGAGAGGAGCATAATGTTGACAGTTCAGTAGGATATGTTTAATTGTGACTGGTGTTTGACAGGTGTAGCATATTGGTGTATTTTTATGTTCAAGTAGGTAGCCGTGGGTAAGGCGGGTGTGTCCGATCCTTAGTCTGGTTAGAACTGTTTATTGTTTCCTAGTGGTTTGAATTGAGGATTGCCAATGTTTAACTTCTTTTTTAATTTGGAAAAGTTTATTTGTAGTGTGTTGTCTATTCCACTCACGCTCCCATTCTTTCCAAATGATGTTTTTGATATGTGTGCAGAAATCCTTGTAGGGAATTTTTGTATAGGGAATTCTACACGAAATTGATTCTTTAGCTAACTGATTGGCCAACGTGACTTGGGATCCACATGAAAATAACTTTAACATTTTGAGTGGAGAGTTCTTTTAGTTTGTAAAGGATATCTTGAATGCTCGGATTGTAAGAAAAAATATTTTTGATTGACTTTAAGGTTGTGAGTCAGAACAAAGTATGAGAGTTTTATGAGAGACAGATATAACGATGATGGCTTTAAGAATGGTGACAAGCTTGGCAGAAAAGTTGGAGCATTCTTGAGGAAGTGAGAAACTGTAAGAACAGGACCCAGAGATGACGGCCGATCCCACACCTTCATCGGATCCGTCGGTATATATAAAATCGGCAAGTGGGTAACGGGACGAAAATTTGGAGAATTCTTGATGGTATAAAATTGGGAAAATATTATCTTTGTTAAAGACGGAAAGCTGCAGGGAGAGTACAGGGGATGGAAGAGTCCAAGGAGGGATAGGCGATGCTTGTATTTTTTTAATAAGATTTTTATTTCAATTTGTTAATTTTATAAAGTTACACGATGTGAACTAGGTTCCTCATCAAATGATTTTTGGTTTTGAATTTGAAAAATTTTTATTACAATTTTTCTACAAGTTTATCTTTATTTAAATGGATTTTAAATCCTGCTGATATTTTTTTTTTTCAAATATGAAAACCCTATTATTCCAAATTCCTGGGGCTCACAGATCCTGCTTTGATAAACCCTGCATAACGCTGAACATCTTTCTATCATTTTGTATAACCACAAACTCTTACTTTTTGCATTGTTTTGAAGCCTGTGATGTACTGCCCTTTTTATAGTTACCATATCCATATAGGATTTTTTTGCCCACCCACCTCCTCGCCATAGCTTAGAAGGAGACCCTATATGGGCGCACTGTGCCAATTAACTAAAATTAACTTAACAAAGCCTTCCTCAGGTCCTTTTATCTGAAGGTGTGGCTTGAGAAAGGTGAGGTGTTGTTTCTTTTTAATATTTGTTTTGGTTAATACGGAATCTAAATGGTTTCCCTTGCTAGTTTACCCTTTACAAATTAATGCAGCAGACACTAGCTCAGGTTAACCCAACTTCTGTATACATTTATCACTAATTGGCCATATACTATACAAAATTATACCTTAAATACTTCCAAACTGTCCAAAACACTTCTTTCTCCTCCATTTATCCGATTCTCACTGGTGTTTCACAGGGTGGCATTCTTGCTCCCCTCCTCTACACAATCTACTCAGCTGATCTACCCACTCAACCTAACACTATTATCTTTATCTTTGACAATGACACATCAATAGTCACCTCCGATAAAGACCCCATTATAGCTTCATGTAATTTACAGCATAACTTACACACAAAACTATGCAAATAAATATACATTAACATAGATGAATAAATCGACCTTGAATACATTTATCCAAATTACATAATTAAGTCAGACTACTCTCATTGGTGTAAGCGCTGTGACAGAAAGCAATGCAGATGAAATTCAGTTAGTGTATTTAAAGTGCTCACATTGCATCATTTTAATTTTTTTATTTTGTACTAATATGACATTATTATACACTGATGGGCAAAATAAACGCACCAGCCTCAAATTTGAATTTATGTAGGTTTATTCATATTTTGCATACCAAAAATAGGTTTAGTTGTAAAAAATAAGACATTTGAAAAGAAAATATTTATTGCAAAATTTAAAAAAAATTATTATTAGTGAAGAACATAAAAATTCAAAATTCAAAAACAATCTGATAAAATCCTGAAGAATTCTTTCCCATTCAGTAAGAACTGCCATTTCCAACTCTTCTAGGGTGTTGGGACCTGGTTTAGTTTACTATTATTTTGCGTTATGATCTATGTATATTAGCCATGGTGACGAATTCTTATATGTGTGTTCAAATTGGGGAAGTTATCGTGAAAAAAGGGCCAGAGGCGACAGTGGGAATCAAACCCTCGACCGCGGTGTGAGAGTCTCTCATGCTAACCATTCGGCTACTGCGGTCCCCAAACTACTAATTGTTAAGTTGGTTCCAAAATTGGGTTCAAATCTGGGCTACAAGTGGAGAATGGCCACACAAAGCACCCAATTTCCTCCTCATTCAGTTAGTTATCCGTAATAAGTGCTCTACTGGGGGGCCTGAGATTATCCTTCATTAGCAAGAATCTCTCACCGATATGAGGGCAAAAGGCACTACATGTTTTTCAATTATGTCTTGTCTTGTGAAGTTTAGAGATCTTCCTTGCACAACAACCAATTCGGTGCGTTCATCCGAGGAAATGCCACACCAGAACACCAACGACTCTCTGAGGAATATCACCTCAGGAACCATACATCATGGTGGTGTACTTTCCTCCTGAGCTTCTCCATATGGTATTATGCCCATCTGAAAATTTAAGGCCAACTCTTAAATCATCTATAAAGAGAACTCATCCCCAATCTTCCTATGTCCAATTCACATTTTTCTGTGAGAATTGAAGACTGGTCATTTTCTGAGCTGTGGTAAGAAGACGTCCACGAGCTGGGTGCCAGACCCTGAGATTATTTTCATTGACTCCTTTCTTCCTGGAGGAAATCGAAACATTTCAGACTTGTCTTATTAGATATCTTATTTTCCATAATGCTGCAGTTTCGTCAAGCCATGATGGATGAATCTATTGTTCCCTCGTCTGTAGACCTAGGTTGACCCTGACCTGGCCTTCTGTTTCTCTGAAGCGCCGAAGAATTCTTCCAATTTTAGAGTAATTTGCACTCAGTCTTCTTGTGATTTCGCACTGGCTGTATCCTTCCTCTAATAATATTATGACCCTGACACTGATATACTCACTTGAATGCCTGACTGAAAGGACTGAAAAAAAAGCTTTAAGCACAAGAATAATAGTAAATGAAATCAATGAAGGAAAAAGATTATTTGAATCTTTGGCGTAGCAGAATCGAAAGGCATAACACTACTTTTTGTGAAAATGGGATTAATCAATACACAAGTAAAAAAAGCAATATTTACTGTTTATTTTGACTACGATAGCTGCTAATTAGCTGTAACTAATGTAGAAAGATAATGGATTTAATTAATTGTAAACTAATAAAGTGAGTGGTGTTTTAAATTTGTCCATCCCGTCAGTGTCTGCTAGGGAATACAATAAACAAACATATGGCAAAAGACAAGTTCTCTTTATTTGCTTATTATACAAGAACATTTAAAAAAAGTCTAGTCAATATTCTACAATATTAATTCTTAAATACAAAACAAAAATAACTCAGCCTTATTATAAATGGTGAACCGAATATAGTGGTGGGAGTTTCGACTTTCTTCGGCCAACCTAGCTCGATGTAGGTTCGATTTCTTCTGGCTCGACCATTCGTGAAGTCATGGATCAAACTGTGTACCATCAGACGAGGCTTTGGTTTAATCAATTCAATTGAACACAAAATTAAAAAAAAAAGAAGAAAATTAAGAAAGATAAACCGTGTTGAAAATTGTGCCGTGATAAAATTCTTTCCGGCTCGTCAAAAGTGGATCCCGTCGCAGACTTTGGTGAACTCAAGTTTTCCGTAATTGACGTAGAACCCTCCTCGCTTGGTGTCCAGGTTTTCCGGCATCCCTTCGTCCTGGAGGTCGGTGTTGTCTATGAACGAATCGTTTTCGTCGTAGCCGGCTCCGAGCTGTGCGTAAGACACGCTACGCTGTTTGTCCATCTGGTCGACGTTGTCGCGTACGCCGTCCGATATGTCGTGCTTCCGCTTTTGGATGAGGTTGTAGTAGTTGAAGATGGGGCAGTGGTCCTCTTCGCCGTTCTTCAGCTCCAAATTGAGCCTGATCGACTTTGGCTCCTTCTCGGTTGCGTTTTTCGGCTTTTCGCCCTCCAACAGCCTGAAATCCTTGTCCGTCATTTCTACGCGAGGGTCACAGGACGTGTCCGGCTCCAGTTAAACAAAACACGTTTGCTTTTCGACCTTCATAACCTTATTGTTTTGTAACCGGTTAAATAGCGTCGATAAGGCACTGGTGGAATCATTGATAAGCATGAAGACGTCATGCTTATCATACATATAATTTCAAATATTTAACAATTATTCTATTCAAGTTAAATCAATTTTTTAAAAAATAGTTAATCAAATGAATGTACAATATTGCTGAAAAAATTTTGGGATATACACAGTGTACCGCGAACAGAGTTCAATACTTGATGATGATGATGAAATAAATGTGATTTATTATAATGAATTGATTATAATTTCAATTCATTATAATGAAAATAGTTTAGTTCTATTGCTACTAATAGAACAATGAAGTTCCAGATTCGACAAGGTTCGAATGATCCAGGTCATCTGTGTACTTTTGAGATTTATTAGATTTAGACACAATTTTTTTTATGCATTGTTACTCACATTAGATCTACGCAGTAAACAAAATGTTTATGAGACTAGCTTGACGTGAAAAGCATAAATTCGTTTTAACAATTTGAAAATTAAAAAATACTGTTTATTTGGAGATCGTCAGATGCGGGCTGGAGTAATGTAGGTTTAGGCAAACATTTTCTTTATATTGTGGCAACGTTTCGATCTTTATTGGGATCATCTTCAGGGCCTGGGATTTAAAAACATTGCCTGGATTATACAAATACATGTAAGATGTGCAAATGAATTTATTCAATGATGTACGCAATATATTGGTGATGTGTATAATGGTTGTTTTATATGTTGTATTATATGTTTTGTGTGTTATATGTATGTCATTGATATTAAATTTTATTAATGTTATTAGCCGGCCGAATTTCTGTAATTGATGCTGTGTTTATCTCTGGTGATGTAAACCATTTCTAAAAAGTTACGTTTTTGTTGTTTTGTTATGTGTTTAATTTTTTGGACTGTTAAAATTGATATTGTGTTGATGTTCAAAACGGTGGGTAGCCAGAGCTGTAGGTTTTTGCAATCATAGATATGTTGTTTTACCCTCTTTTCCAGACATTGGGATGTAATTCCGATCTAAGTTGCCGGACAATTTATACAATTGATTTTGGAAATTACACCAGAATTATTTGTTACAGGTGTTGGATCTTTAATTTTGGAAAAAAAAAGGGTTTACGGTTTTTGAAGAGTATTTTAAAGTTATCAGAAGAATCGACATATGTTTAATTTTTGTGATAAACCGTGAACGAATGGCATGGATATATGTTGGTTTGTTTGTATTTGATAAAACTGATATAGTGTTATTAGTGATAGTGGTGTTGAGATGTAGTTGTTGATTATGTGTAGTGATTGTTATGTTTGTATATAAATATTTATGTTCTTGTGGTGAAATGATTCATGGCTCAGGGTAATAATAACTACTTCTCACATCTCCATTAATTAACGGCCACTAAATACTACTCATTTCTATGTTCAAATAAAATTTTGTATCTCCTTACTCGTATATTCAGGTTTATTACCCTTATTTGTCTCAACTAAGACCTGAATATTAATTACTATAATTAATTAAAATAATAGATACGTTCAATTACGGTATCTAAATACGTATTGGATATGAGCACTTTTGTTCTATCTAATAATTATTCAGAAATCGTGAGATGCGGTCTGGTGTGATGTAGGTTTCAGAAAAACAACAACACAATCGCTACCCACCATTTTGAACACCAACACAATTTCGACTTCAAAAATCCGAAAATATTACATACAGAACAAAACAAACATAAACGTATTAGAAATGGTTTATATCAACAGAGATAAACACAGCATCAATTACAGAACAGATACATGTAAACTCAGTCGCAGCTACGCCAATATCATTAATCAAATTAAATACAGATAACATACCTATATCATCACATTACATTCCACACATCAAATATTTTTCATAGACTAATAGTCCAACAATTTAGCTTACCTTTTCCTATTTATCCCTTTCTATTTAATCCTGAAAGGATAATCTGACCGAACCATTACCAACACATTGTTTCCCTTCGTCGGCTCTTTTCACCTCCTTCCTTCCCCACCCCTTCAAAATCCAACATATATAAACACAAAATAGCAAAATCTCACTAGCACTCTCGACACGACACGCAAGAATGGCACAATTACACAGAAGACAAACACTTTGAGTGAGTAGACTTTCATTGAATATAAAAAACATATTTCGCATTGTAGAAATTCACTTTTCCACATCCTAAATGTATTTGTTAAATGTAAACAATGTTTGTAAATCCCAGGCCCTGAAGATGATCTCAATAAAGATCGAAACGTTGGGAAAATGCTTTTCTGAAATCTACATCACACCAGACCGCATCTCACGATTTCTGAATAATTATCGTTTAATTATCATTAATCACCACACAGTTCTACTTACTTAATTTTTTTTAATGAGAACCACTCAGAAAGCGTTATCCCCACGCCTTCCCTAGTAAGGGAAAGCTGACGGTCATCGATGTTCCGACAGTTCAAATTGACTGAACTACCGAAACTGCCTCACGCTCAGGGGAGAACGCCACACTTCCTCATCGTGGTTTAAGGTATTCGACTGTTGTAGCCGGATTTTGTGAAGATCTACTACAGAAATGATCCTGTAGAAGTATGATCTTAACTTAACCTGGAAAACGGTTTTTAGCACTTCTGGTGAGTCTGCTCTCGACCGACTGGGAAGTCAATTTCACGTCTACAATCTCCTCTCCTAAAAATCCATTACGTTTATCGTGTTTTAATTGATAGTAAGGCTCTTTTATTATATTATATATTTAATTCGTTTTCAATATATGTAAACAAATATTAAAATAATGTAATACAAATTTGTGATCATAAGGAGCGTTCAATTGTGAAAGCGCTATCTTCCGGCAATTTTCAGGTTACAACTAGTTGTGGTGAAGGGGTGCACTTCTGGTGAACAATATACATATCGTTACTTATTTATTTAGTGAAAGGATTGTAACATATTGTTGATTGATTGTCATTATGAGCGGTAAAAAGATGTCGGAACGAGTCAAGCTTTCCTAATACGTCTGCTCAATTAACTCGAAGATATTTCTATACACGTGTCGACGTGTGAATGTGAATTCAAATGACATTGATATTCGCAAATAGATAAGAAAGCAGGTAAAAAGAGAATACATTTTTCATTGGTTTTCTTAGATTTATGGATCGGTTGGTTTAAAGAGGAATAAATATAAACTTACGAGTATATATTTTTAATATATTTGCGATATTCCAAATTCATGTCTGTGCTTCATAGAATTGATGTAGTGTTATTAGTAGTAGTAGATGGTGAGTGTTGAGTTATAGTTTTTGATTATTCTGTGATTATTTGTTTAGGGTAGTGAGAGTAGATGTTATGTAGGATATGTTTGTATATCTTTATATTCTTATAGTGAAAAGATTCATGGTTTTTATTCTATTCATTTTTTACTATGTAAATGTTCACATATACTTATGTGGCAACGACAATATTAATATTTTCTTGTGTGGTGATTAGTGTGAATCGATATTTATTTAGAAATCTTGAGATGCGGTCTGGTGTGATGTAGGTTTCAGAAAAACATTTTCTTTATCGTGCCAACGTTTCGATCTTTCTTGAGATCATCTTCAGGGCCTGGGATTTTCAACTGTTACAATTTAATTTCTCCTGAACTTGTTGACCTGATAGAATTACGCACTTATTTTATATAAGATTTAAGTCCGTGATTAGGGATCTGTTGCCATCGTTCGACAATTGTATAGTAGCCATATGGATGGAGTCCAGAAGTCCACAACTTGTTGTAACCTGAAAATTGCCGGCAGGTAGCGCTTTCACAATTAAACTCTCCTTATGATCACAACTTCTTATTACATTATTTTAATATTTGCTTACATATATTGAAAACGGATTAAATATATAATATAACGAGAGAGCCTTACTATCAATTAAAACACGATAAACGTAATGGAGTTTTAGGAGAGGAGATTGTAGAAGTGAAATTGACTTCCCAGTCGGTCGAGAACAGTTTCACCATTAGAGGTGAAAGACACCTTCCAGGTAAAGTCAAGATCATACTTCTACAGGATCATTTCTGTAGTAGATCTTCACAAAATCCGGCTACAACAGTCGAATACCTTAAACCACGATGAGGAAGCGTAGCGTTCTCCCCTGAGCGTGAGGCAGTTTCGGTAGTTCAGTCATTTTGAACTACCAAAGCATCGATGACCGTCAGCTTTCCCTTACCAGGGAAGGCGTGGGGATAACGCTTTCTGAGTGGTTCTAAAAAAAAAAAAATAAAAATAAAAAAAAGTGCTTCTGTCCAATACGTACTTAGATATCGTAATTGAATGTATCTATTATTTTAATTAATTATACTAATTAATCTCAGGTCTTACTTGAGATAAATAAGTATAATTTATGCCAGACCATATCGATGACGACAGTTTAAAAAAAATTTTATAAGTAAAATGTAATCATAATTATTCGAGAATCGCACAGAAAATGTTATCCTTCTCTGGTAAAGGGAAAATCTTATGGTGAAGTTTATGTTATTCATTTACGTGAAATCTTTTTTTTTCGTTTTTATTTTTATCACTGCTTTCCCTCTTCTTTACAAATATTTAAAAACCGAACATGACATTCTGTTGTGGGCAGATAAGTTTTTGCGATTATAAATCTTTTTATCTAAATGTCTCATTTTACGGTCTTGAAGAATTTTCATGTTGAAATAATATGTGGTAGAAATAAAAATATATGTGTCCGTTATAATATCGAACCACGTTCGGATATCTATCTGAAAATTTTTGTAATCATAAACTTTACGTCCCTTCTAATTTTCTCAGGCTTTTATAACTTGCAGACTAAGATTATGTGATATTCACTAATTTCGGGGTCCGCTTGACCAATTAATATATTATAATTAATTAAGGTTTTTAGTTGAAAACTATAATTAATTGTATTATGTGATATAATATATCATAAATTATAATTTCTAAACCCTTTGTTTAAATATATTCGAATGATTAGATTTAGCTTGATTCGTTGTTTAAATGACTCACTATGGTTTGATTTCCTTTGGGGTCGCAGGTTCATCTCTGAAGACTGCGGGAAACAGATATCCATCTGACCCCTAAATGTATAATTTGAATACTTTTGTTTCAGGTTTGCAACTCAGAAGCTGGTTCAGGCCGTTAACGACTACGAGGCACAGCTCGCCAGCCAGAAGAAACTCCAAATGATACTCAATAACGCCATACAAGAGAAGGAGGAACAGCTGAAAATCGCACTCCAACAGGTTTACCGTTTATTTTTATATAGTCAACAAATTTGGGAATTGAATGTTTTTCCCTGTAACAGCTCGACGTTATGAACGAGGACACGTGGCAGGTGCAGAAATCTGCCGAGTCCACGCGGACTGACCTGAAGCAGAAGCTGAGGAAGGCCTGCGAAGTCTGCCCGGACGTGATAGAAGATTACCCGATCGGTGAACCGACATACAAAAAGTCGTCTTGATATACTTTCGTTTTTTTAAATAACATTTCAGTGTTTCCGTTCAACTCGATCAATTCTTGTAATCAATTTTCAAACAGTGGTCCATCACTTTTGACAGTTAACCTATTGAGATTTCAACAGTAAAATTATTTGTCGGATCTGTGATTGTTTTTCTTTACAAGTAACTTCCGTTGTGTACGATTTCATCCGGGAATTTTTTTTAAGGTTCGAAAAACCAATGGGATTTGTGATAAATAGATAACATAATTTATTAAAAGCATCACATGCTTTTCTTGAGTTCGTTTACCTTTTCTTATATTGACTGGGATTAACCAACAATGCTATCCGGCCTCATTGGCTCATAGGTTGCCGACGTTTGTAATAATTTAAAATAATATTTTGTAGAACTTCTGGATAAAAGACGTCCAGCATTGACCTGCAACACTGTTAGAAATAAAAAAATTGATTAATAATTATTCAGAAATCGTGAGATGCGGTCTGGTGTGATGAAGGTTTCAGAAAAACATTTTCTTTATCGTGCCAACGTTTCGATCTTTATTGAGATCATCTTCATAGCTCAAAGTGTTTGTCTTCTGTGTAATTGTGCCATTCTTGCCTGTCGTGTTGAGAGTGCCCAATTACACAAAATACAAACACTTTGAGCCCTGAAGATGATCTCAAAAAGATCGAAACGTTGGCACGATAAAGAAAATGTTTTTCTGAAACCTACATCACACCAGACCGCATCTCATGGTTTCTGAATAATTATCGACTAACGGTCACTAATCACCACACAAAAAATTGATTAATTTTATTCCATTGCAAACCTATTAAAATCTCGAAAAATAGTGAAAAGTGTGGTAAAAAGAGCAGAAAAAAAGGCAAAATCATAAAAATAAAATAAATAATGCCAATTGTATTTTTTTTTCGGTTTGAAACAAGGAATGTCAGAAAAACGCTTTCGTCAAAAATTACAAAAAATAAATTTTCCATAACAATTTTTCAAACCAATTAGCGCGATAATAAATCCATTGACAGAGATAAAAAAATTGATTTAGTGTAAAAATGACAGGTAAAATAAATTTTGATCGTTTTTGGTATGCCACGTGGAGGTTGATAAACGTACTACAGAGGGTACATTTATCCTTCTGCAATAAAAATAACATTTCGTAAATGTTAAACTTTATTTTAATTTTTATTTACATTGTAGTAGGATATAATATACATAACAGTTAAGTACAAACATAAATACAACAGAGATATTTCATTATTTATTTATACAGTTCACATTGCTGGATAAAACATAAAAACAGTACAATTAATAAAACATAAAAGACAAGGCAGGCCAGCTGCATTCTAAGACAATTTTTACATAGCCTAGATTTACAGGATCTTACTCTAATGGTCTTCTCTAAGTCGGCTCAGTTCTATACTTTTTTTTTTACATGAAAGATTCTGGTGGGTTACAATAGTTATAATCTCTCTAAACCTATGAGCTTCACTTTTTAAATATATATAGTATACTTTTCTTCTTATTGTTTTCTTTTAAATATATTTATATATATTTACTTTTACATATTATTGGCATGCAAATTAAGTCCATTTGTCTCAAATGTCAGACTTGAAGAGTCGAGTATAAAAAATAAAATGCAACGAAAAAGAAAACAAAATTAAAAATTAAAAAGCGGAGATTCATTTAGATTGAAAAAAAAAAGAAAAAAGATAAACCGTATTGCTTGATTTAAGTATAATACTGGTAATTATATAAAAATATAATGATTTTTTACAATATATAATCAATATATATATAATCATATACATGATATAAAATGCATTTAAAAAGTAAAAGGCGTTAAAACGTCGCAATGGAAGATTCAAGGTCCGTCGAAATTGTTTCCGCATGGAATGTTGGAATCGTCCTCGGACAGAATTTGGTTGAGAAGTTTGTCGAGTGACGCCAGACCAGTGAGGAAGCCGCCGTCGGGCCCTTGGTGGATGGTGCAGTTGTTGGACAAGCTCCTCCTGGAGGAGAAGAAGGTCGTGTGGGCGAAATCGATCATGCGTACGTCCACTTCCGGGTCCTGGCTCCAGTTCCTCCTCTTGCGTTTCACCTCTTCTTTTATCGGTGTCGAGGTGAGAAGGTCGAACGTGGACATGGACGAGCTTGAGGCCTCTTCTTCCGAGTGCATACCGCCGGAGGAGGCACTGCTGTTTTCGCTCGACGAGTTGTCCTCCCAGTCTCCGCACATCGGCGAACAACTCCTCGAAGAACTGCAACAAACAATTTAAACAGTCATAACATGTTTTTTTATATAACTAAAATACAATTAGAGTATTCACAACCGTCCTATCGTGTTAAATATATGTTCTCGTCTTATTAACATAGCAGGGGTATTCACGAGCTTTGTGTTTACCCTGTTAGGTCGTGAAAAATGATGACGTAGACTTGTAAGAAACGGCTAGTAACATTGCTCGATCTACAGGCCAGGGCCAATGTTAGATGCTAGGTCGAAAATGTAGTCACTTTGCTATCCATTGGGGCGTAGTAGGTAACCAACATGGCAGCCATGAATTTAACAGCTGTTTTTTGTTTATACGTTTTTATTATTCTTAAGTGACTTTAATTAAATCAGACCAATATATTTCTTTTGTTAATTTCTGACCTGTCGTTATACTCTCATTCATAAAAGATACATCCTTTAACCTATACAGTTATAGGCTGTTAGATGTTAGGATATAAGTTAGGTATGTCGGATGAATTGAAGCTTGTTATTTGTTAACACTTTTCGAGTGCATAGATAGCATTTTGAATGAAAAAGTTGATTAATTTTCCTTTTTTATTAACTTCTGGAATCTTACAATTTAACACAAAACAACAAGCCTTCAAGGACTGTTATGGCTTTAGTTTTGGTTCTACCAATCGCCACGCGCAGCATTTCGGGCAAATTAACTTTTAACATGCTAAGAAAAGAAGGGGGCGTTTACGATCTTTACGATCCATTACGATTAGCTGTGTTTCACTAACTAAAGAACAGGTTATTTTTAACCTTAAAATGATCAAAACCATCATCTTTCAGCAAAACCATTATCCAACCATTAACAATCCTTATTTCTTGAAATAATTAGTTTTTATTATTCTGTTGAGTAATAATGACGCCAAAACGTTAGAGATCCCAAAACCGATCGTCTTAACCAATTGTTTAAATCCCGTAAGTAAACCCAAGGACAATCTTGCCTTCAATTGCTTGTAAGATGGATACGAAGTAAAATAATAAAACGGTGGATGAACTGGCAGCTTATAAGCAATCTATAGTCTGTGGAACGACTTCTCCTAAGACAGCAATAAAACCCCTTTATAAATTGATTGAGCTTTTATCACCGAACAAAGCTCTTAAGATAATATTTGACAATGACTAAGATAAAACAGACCAAACGTGCCTCGAGGTTAAGTCTAACATTACAAAAATAACACATATGTACATAATTGTTGATATCGCAAAATAAAATATAAAAAAATTGTCTATTATTTTTATCACGTAAAAGTTATTCAACTATGAATTAAATAGAAAAATAAAATCCACTGTTATAAAGTTGGATTTGGATTTGTATAGGCTCAAATCCTTTTGCACGTAAATACATACAGATGGGCCCTATTCGCTTCTCGTAGTACACCGGCAATTCCAGCGTTTGCTGTTTACAGTAAACTGCCGGCAGACCATAGAATCACTCCGGGTGTTGGCAGTCTGATATCAGACCTCAGTCATCCGTCTAGCCCACTGAGGTTGGTCTCCGGGGGGGGGGAGTGCTGTCAAAAGCCAGGCCAATTCAGCACCCAACGCATGCAGTTAATTCAGGGTCGATGGATACTCGATAACACTGACCCTCTCACATCTCACATTCACGCCAATAAATACATTCACTTTCCACACAACCTTCAAACAAGATTATACAAATAACCTTATTGAGGGTCGATGGATATTCGATATTCCGTCACTGACCCTCTCACATCACACGCTCACGATAATAAATACTCTCAACACAAACTCGGCTAATAACTATTATTACTGTACATAACAGAACAACCCCGTTTCCTCCAAGATTCGGGACAGGGGAGCCCAAATACTCGCTTCCGAGTTTAAGCACAATTCTCAAATCGGGTGGCTTTCCTGAGCGATTTTTCTACGAGGAGTCGGCTTCATTGAGGTGAAAGGGACCCACAAAGGAAAAAAGGTAATGGTTTGTCCATCCCAGTTACAGATTATGTAATGAGGAGGAAGAAACAGCGACCCTTATCATCAATAATAGAATAAGCCAGAAGTCTGCAGTGCCTGGAGAGCAAAACCCCTGCTTCCTAGTACCCCCATCATCATCAAACTTCCTATACAGTTATTATATAATGAACTAATTAAAGGAAGATAGAATACTCAACACTACATACAACAGAACAACCCTGTTTTCTCCAAGAATCGGAACAGAGGAGCCGAAACACTCCCTGCCGTGCTTAAGCACAATTCTCAAATCGGGTGGCTTTCTTGCGCGCTCTCTCTATGGAGTCAAAGAATTGCACCCTTCAATTAGGTGGAACATATCTAACGACCTTGCTCTGCATGCCGGACATGCCAATGCTTTGGTATAAAAGTAAGCGTCCGGGTGTTATAAAGTAATGTACATCGAAAATTGTTTAACGCGCAACGATTAATAAATTCACAGTTGACAATACCTAATAAGGCGTTATTAATCAAAACAATAGACAAAAATTAATTAAATCATAGGATGTCAATACAGATTTTAACCTTGTATTGTTGTTTTCTAATCACAGATTGCTTAATATTTCATACCTACAAAGGAACAACAACAGAACTTAACCTTCAGTTTATTAAAGGTAGTCCAATCCAATGCAGAATCCTTCACCCAAGAGAATATGAAATTATTTATAAATAAAGGAAAATGAAATAAATCATATTGTAAAAATATATCTAATACTAAACGTATGGAACCGGTCGTCAAATAATCTTGACCACGCCAAACCTGAAAGTGTAACAACTTAGCCACTCCCATTATGCCGTGGAAAATCAGTCAACGTGACGATATAAAAAAAAGTCTTATATATAATTGTTTTTAATCAGAGTACGATATTTTTTATATTTGTCGGCAAATCTATACTACGGAAGAATCGTAGTACTTCACGTCAGCTTAAGGGAATTTATGGTTGTCTTAAACTTAACGAAATGAAGATGAGACCGGTCTAAATCAGTACTATTAAAAAAGTAAAGCTTTCTTGACTACACCCAATTATTAGGTTGATGCAAAATTAATGCAGGTTTTGAAAATTTGTTTTAATTTCGTAGGTGCTTGTCAGGTAAACATACATCCTAGACGTTGACACGGCGCTCATCACTGTAAGGTCCCGGGTTCGAATCCAGCGGCCCTGCATTCGAACCCGACATACTTACAAATGGGCTTTTTTTCAAAAACACCGGCACCCTGAGGGTTTATATGACCTCTGCTGTTGCGAACCCTCGTAAAAAAAAACAACGTAAATCCTCCATTTTAATTTATGGATTAAAATAAATAATTTTAACTGTGATCTTTTTATACAAAACATTTTCGTTTATATTGAATTTTATAAGAGTGAGGGCCTGTTTAATTAAATATGTCCAAACTAGATTTTCGTTCAACATCAACAGTTTGGGTGGAGGGAAGTATTTCGTCCTGGAGAGTTCGATCTCGAATACAGGAAAGGTCGTGGTGGTACTTCCGTTGTGGGCGATGACCAACTCAACACACTTTGAAGAAAATTACTTAAGACAACACGGTAAATTGCGGAAGAGCTTAGTGTTGATCACTCAACCGTGCCATCTGGAGCAAATTAGTAAAGTAAAAAAGCTCGACAAGTGAGTAGCGAACAAACTAACCGGTCCTAAAGAAATCGACGCTTTGAAATTTGCACGTCTCTTCTGTTGTGCCGCAAAAATGATCCATTTCTAGATCGAATCATCAAGATGAGAAATGACGATAACAGGAAGCGTGCAGGTCAGTTGGACAAAGATGAAGACCCAAAGCACTTCCCGAAACCAAATCTGCATCCACAAAAGGTTATGATGATTGTTTGGTGGTGTACTGCTGGGGTTGTTGACTATAATGTCCTGAATTATGGTGAAACTATCAAATCAGAGAAATATCCCCAAGAAATTGAGACGTCTTTGTCCAGCATTGGTAAATCATAAAGGGTCGATTCTTCTTCACCATTTCGCAGTGCCAACCCTGCAGAAATGTGAGGACTTAGGATATGAAACCTTACCGAATCCTCCATATTCGCCCGGCCTCTCGCCTACAGACTTCCACTTTTTTAGGCATCACTTATAGAGGGATAAAACTTTTAAAGAAAGCGGTGATGCTGAAAAACATCTTCAAAGACTTCATTGTGAGTCGAAATAAAAATTTTTATGTACAAGTTCTATTACAAGTTGGCAAAGTTATATAGATTGTGATGGAAAATATTTCGAATAAATTTTCTTTATCTTATAAAAATGAAAAATAATTTTGACTGCCTTTTCAAAACCTGCATTATTTTTGCACCAGACCGACTTCGCCACTCCCAGATTATTGTCATTGCATTGGCTAACGTAATCAAACGTTCTTACACTGAGAGCGAAGTCACATCCATTGTCTCTTCTGATATTGGTACGAAGCCTTTCGGTGATGAACCGGGCATGCTGCGGGCGCTTTCGTTTGTTTCTTTGTCCATAGCATCCTCGCTGCTTAGTCCAGAATCGTTTTCGACATCCACGCTTCCTTCGTACGTTATCAGTAACGAGCTGGAATAAAAGAAAAAATTAAATTTGAAGATTTAAAAAGAAAAAAAATTGTTTAAGTATTGGTTTTGAAAAACAACTTCAAGGGTTTATTTCGTTATGTCAATAATGCGGTTAACACCCGGTTTAAAAATAAGTATGAGTTAATCTTGTTTTGTTTGTTTCGCTGTTGAACAGTATATGAAAAATTGTAGTTTAGAGTTTTGAAAATTCAATTAACAACGTGATGTAATAAGGGTGTTAATTTGTGTAATTTTATTATATAGGGACTCACCAGGAGTAAAACCTGTAGCTAGATTGTTTTTCAATGGCTTGTCGTAACTTTTCCAGCCTCGTGATTACTTTTCTTATGGCGAGACGGTTGAGGGAAAAACCGTTGTGGAAAAACTTATACAGGGCACCTTTGAAGCCTTCTACGTCCAGCTCCCTGCCCCAGTACTTGTCTTTTTTAACGAACTTCTCCGTGTCAGCCTGGTACACCTGCGGCACAAGTGTCGGGTTGGTGGTGTCGCCAGATAAAACCATATAAATGAAAAATAGCGGTTTTGCATACCTGCATGCCGCACAGTCTGACACCCAAGGATGCGGATGTGCTGGCGGCGCACTTGGCCATCTGCTTGCTCCGCTTTTCAGCAGAGGCGTCGTCCCCGTGCTGTCTCGTGCCCATCTTGAGGTCGAGTATGCACGGCCTTGAATATCTACTCGTGATGTTTTCGAGCAGCAGAAAATCTACAAGTTGCGAGTCAAGGCAAATAGAGTTTGTTACTTAATTACATCATTTTATATTGATAAGATAGTTCGAAAATAAGAAAAAAGCCTGAGGTTAAATATGGCTAGTTAGACATTTCTACTCCAACTAAACTACCTTGAACTACCTCAAAAACACATATTTTTTAAAAAGTAAAATAAAACCACGATCTAACAGCCTAATTATCATTAATTCTTTCATTGAATTAATCTTTTTTTGTGAGGTTTTGGTTGAAAAGAAAAAGTTAGTGTCATGAGCGGGAGTCGTACCCACGACCTTCGGCTGGGGGTTCGAATCCCGCTCTGACACTAACTTTCTCATTTCAACCAAAATCTTAAATAAAAAGATTAATTAATTGAAAAAAGTATTTTTTGTCAATAGACCACTAAATAAATGGATTTATCATTAATCTGTGAGCTGTCAGTTTAGGCATTTTTCATGATCAATGGTCAGTCTGTGCGTTATTCTGTCAGTTGTGTCCTTTTATAGGGTGTAGAAACTTCAGATGGAACGCAAAGCCATCGGTGAAGATGGAAGACGTCGAAAAGCGTCTAATAGACCAAAACAGGTTCATAGAAAACAACTAGATCGCCAAGAAGAATTCTTGCAAGAATTATGATAATCAATCTAGATTTTTGGATGTATAAATCAAGACGAATATAGCACATATGCAAGTATAATCAGCACTGAGACTAGTAATTATAAAACAAAATTTTAGTTGGAAGCTTTGAAAAACTTTACTTTTCCGAGATATAACCAGTTTTCTATTTTATTTTTTGTGTTTGGAACTTTTCCCTTAAAGTACTTTATTTTGTTATGCTACATTAAAATAAATTATCAGAAATTTGAATTTGAATATGTGGTGGTGTCGAAAAAATACCGCACTCAGCTTGTTTTAATATAGACTTTTCCATTTCGCAATAAAAATTGTACAGTTTTAAACAATCACCAGCACGGTTGAAATAGTTTTTCTTTAAATTTTATAAATTCAGTAAGTTTAAGGTTTAATATAGTTTAGCTTAAATTAAAAATCGATTATGTCTTATTAAAATAGTTAATTAAAATGAAATGTAGTTTAAAAATATATAAGCTGGGTTTGAAATTGGTTGACTTATTCTTTTATTTATTAAAATCTACATAAAAGTTTATTATGTTAAAAATCACACATTTTGAGTTGAAATTCGAAGTAAAGGATACATTGTTTGCTGGACGTTTCCAGGTGCTGGGTGCCATTCTTCATCACTTCATTGACGCTCTTGTTCCTGCGGACTTTCATCCTAAAAAATACAAACAGACGGCAAAGTTGAAGAAAAGGGCGAAACCGTACAGTCAATTTGTGAGAGTAATACAAAATGGTTAAGACTATGGATCTAGACCCTTAGATTTTCTTCTGCGCCGATAAACCAGCCGGGTGCGCCTCAGGGCCATGTCTCACCAGCGAAAAAATATCCGGAGGTGAATCCAATCTAAAAGTTGATCAATTTCAATACAGGACATGGTGAAGGATTGATATTAAAAGAAAAAGAGTGGAAGGAAAAGGACCCCCCATTTTTTTTTCCATCGGATCGGGGAATTTTTGATTTTTGGACTGAGGGAATCGATTGAGGCGTCCACCATTGAACGGATTTAAAAAATATGTATCGTAGGTTGGATAAATAAATCTATATCTACCTCAAGACATCGTCCCTTTTCCTCTTGGTCGGTCTAGTGGAGTCGTCCCGAAAACTAGGACTGTACCTTTTTTCTAATTTTACATCTCCAGTCCCCTGCATTACACCTGAAACAGCGTTTGGCGACTCGTTAAATTTGTGAGACTTTTCGTCTTTTCTGTTACAGCGAGTTTTTAGCAAATAAAATATCATTTATATAAGTTTAAGATGTTTTATGATTTGTGATGAATGATAAATGTTGAAACATACCAAAGCATCACTCACACTTGTTTTAAATAATAAAAAATAAAGAAAATATGTCATATCCTTTTTCTGTACAATTTTAAAATTACACAAAATGGTAAAATGTTTTGTAAATTATAATCTTATCAAATAAAAGGGTCAGAAAAAATATATGCCTTCTTTTATAATTTCAATCCTTGTGTTTTCTTATTTTTAAACGCTGAGAAATTTATTAAAATAAACTAGACATATTAAATAATTATTATATAAATGTACAAAAGTCGGTCAATCTCATATAAAAGTCAATTCACGCAAATAATTTATAATTAAGTGCAGATTGCAGAAAATTGAACAAAATTGAACTGGAAAATATACAAATTATATTAAAAATAAATAAAAGAAAAATAACAAAAAATAGCATTGTCTTAGAAAAATATTGTGTGTTTGTCAGAGCGTGAGTTTTCCCGAATAAGACAGACACAATAAATTTTATGTATTTGCTAGAGTATTTTATTATTTTACAAGTGTTGACACGCAAGTTGTCTGTTGTCTGATAAGTTTGAAACTTCACATTTCAAGGTATAATATTAAAAGTGGGAATCACAACGTTGAACTGTGATTATAATGATTTTTTCAAGACATCACTATCTAGGAAAAACGGAAAAGGTCAAACGAAATTTTCTTGAAGATGTACTTTTCTAATCATATTGGTACTTCCATTTCTCAGCAATAGTTAGTGTACAGCCACAAGAAGATTTTTAAAAGAGCGAAGTTTTTCAGTCATTATTTGCAAGTGTGTGAACACGTTACTTATTTTGGAAATATAATTTTTTAAATTGATATTGAGCGACGAGACCATCAATAATATTGGTCAAAACGAAATATACGGTTTTATGTTAATATTTATATATTTCTAATAAAACCGCTATAGTTCTTATGAAGAAGCCGCAAGAGATTTTTATGAAACGTTTTTCAAAATTTGAAACTATTTCTCGGAAATGGCTAAAGTTAGTGAAAAACAAAAAGTGATTTCTAAAGAAAACAGTTTTTTTAATTGATATTTGAGCAGTTCTCAGAAGTGGCGTGTACGTCCACAAGAGATCTTTTTGAAAAGTTTTTTTAAATCGACATTTGGAATTTTATTTATGAAAAAAAAAAAATTAGTTACAATTTGACACAAGAGATTTTTATGATTATTTTTGTTGTCGACTTTTGGAATTCTATTTCTCAGAAATGGCTCAAGTTAGTGTATGACTACAAATGATTTCAACGAAAATGCCTTTTTAAATTTATTTTTGAGCATTTCTCAAAAATGACGAGTACGTCCACAATAGATGTTTTTAAGTCGACATTTGGAATTCGATTTCTCAAAAAAAGCTATTGTTTGCCACAAGAAATTTTCATGAGATGTTTTACTCTGCCGATGTTAGGACTTCCATTTCTCACAGAAACGGCTGAAGTTAGCGGCCTAAGAGATTATGCTTGAATTTCTCATAAATTGCTCGAATATGAAAACAAGACATTTCAAGATTATTCTATGGTAGGTTCAGTAAACTACAAGAACAAAACTCATTATAGTTGACAAATAGTGGACAAATATATATTAATTAGGATATAAATTAATACAAAATATTCAAAAACTAATAAATAAAATATATCAACAAATGTAAATTTTATCATGTCAAAAACTGTTTCAACGCACTTAATCAAATCAGACCCATTTAGAAAATTATGACTAATTTTTCCAGTAAATAAAAATGGATTTTAAGATAATTCAAAGGAAAAAGCATAAGTATTTATCTTTCATAAGGGAAATTTTAATGTGCAGATTACACTGATTCACATCTCAATCTAGCCGAGATGAAAATGGGGGGGGATTTAATGATTTAATGATCCTCATGTTCTGTAACGTTTTTTGACTTATTGAGAAAACATAAAAAGGAGCATGAAGTGATACTGATATCGTAATCGATTATAATTTATATCGAGGCAACGGTTATTTTTTTAGAGCGGAAATATTATGTTTTCTGTCCTTATTATGTCAATTTATGTTGTATGTATGTCATGGGATGTACATAGCTTCCATCAAAAGGTAGGTTGAGTAATTGAAGCAACAATTGTCGATGTAATAAATAATAAAAAATTCTAAAAATATTAAAATGATGAGTAATTTTGATGTTTCTTTCAAATTATACTAGGTGAATTTAAAAAAATAAAATAAAATAAACATAGCACAGATAACCAGAAAAAGGATAGACAGAATGAAAAGAGTTTTATTTAATAAAAATAACACATTTCTAGAACCTGATTTTTACGATTTGAGGTGACAAGTCAAAAAATCTGAAATTCTAGAAATGATGTTTATCGACATTTCCAATCATTTTACTCGTTGAATTACATTTGTAAAGAGACGTTTCACTGATTTCTATGTTGTAAATATGGCTCAAGTCGAATAAAATGATTGGATTAGTTTTTTTTGCTAATAGTCTAGATTGAGGGTGGTATACGAACCACTGAGGAAGTTCCAGGTTTGAGAAGCGGTGAGAGATCGTGTGGATGTTCGTTGCCTGATCGACCTCCTTGGGTACCAACCACTTCCAGTGTTCTCTCACAATGTGAACACCAATGTGATTTACATAACCGTTTTCTGCACATGAGCATATAGCATCTCACCAAGGGGGTAAGGAGAAAGGGAGTTGTTTTGTGAGTATGTGTTTTTTTTAGATAAAAAGAGAAACCTATCTCTTGGGGGGGTTTTAAATTTTGAAATAATAGACATAAAAGGTATATAGGAGCTCCTCACTCTCTTCATGAAAGGAAAAAGGGAAAAGGGAAGGAAAAATAATATAAAAAAAATCACTCACAAAATTAAAAAAAAAAAAAAAAAAAAAAAAACCGCACCACTCTAAAATTAACTTTCATCCAAATTGTGAAACTTGGAAAAAATGATCAATTTTTTTTAAATTATAAACAAATAGGTAGGTAGGTAGGTTTTTAAAATATTGCTAAAAAAATATAATTTTTCCAAATGACACAAGAATGAAAATAATGAATAATGAATTTCTGAGTCCTTCTTTTTTTCTGCATGTTCCTGAAGAAGGCCAAATTTCATAAAAACGTCACTTACCCTTGTATTTCGGGACGAAGAGTTTGATGTCAGCGGGAATGTTCTGGTAGAACTCGAGTTCCCTTTTGTTGAGCGGTTTGCAAATCGTTCCTTCGTCGAGGAGCAAAAGCCTAGTATGACCTCCAACCTAAAACAGAAGAAAAGAGAAATGAAGTAATTTAAAAATTGAGAGAGCCAGAGAGAGAAAGAGAGAGAGAGAGAGAGAGAGAGAATGTGTGTAAGATCTCAAAAGAAAATTTAAGAGGTTAAGCTGGGTATGGATTTCAGTACCACTTCGTGACAGAATTTTGATCTAGACCACTGAGATACTTAAAAAAATGGGCCTTGGGGATTTTCCGATAAAAGGTTCAACGATTTTAAAAAAAAACTATACAATAAAACCTGCTTGCACTATCGATGAAATATATATTATTAAAAAGGACCTCAAACAAGACGACAGTACATTAATTAAATCCTTTTAAAAAGATAGTTCCTACTCACAGTAAGTTGTTTTTAAATCTTTATTATAAATTAAGATTTTTATGCACAAAAATCAACAAATCAATCTGGTTCAATTCCCAATGGGATGAATTCGATTATGATACGTTATCAAAAGTTAAATTTATCATTGATAAAAAACAAAACAAAGTATATTAGATAAAAAATTAAAAACTTAAAGTACGGTACACTTAAAAATAAAAATACTCTTAAAGACCAAAAAAATTTTACCCAAGGGTTATAAACTTAACAAACGTGGTACTAAATAAAGAAGAAAACAATTTATTAAACAAAGGCTTTAAGTTTGTCCCAAAAACAGAATTGGATAAAAAAAAAAAAAAACTTCTATCCCTTGGTTCATCGGTAGATTGTTGAAACATAAATACAAATATAAAATATAAATGTGCTGAAGTAATTAAACAAAAAAACTTGGAAAATCTAGTCAAAAAATCAAATATTTCCATGTACTATTAGGTCTATTGATAAAAAGTTAAAAAGTAACAACAATGTTATTTTAAAAGCCGATAAAGGAAATAGTATAGTTATCAATCCATTTAGTATAGGTAGTAAGAGCAGGGGACTATTGAGCCGAAGGTCGTGGGTTCGAATCCCGCTCGTGACACTGACTTTTTTTATGTCAACCAAGACCTTACCTAGAAAGAATAATTAATTGAAAGAAGTAACTTGGTCAATTGACCACTAAAACGTAAATGGATTAACATTTAATAAGTAAAAAAATTATCACTTCACTAAACAGCTCCTCATGGCCACTTCATAAGTCGCTGAGAATCGAATCCTGATTTCACGACATTTGAAAATGGCAAAAAGAGTAAAAATTCGATCGGTTTGTAGGTTGAGAAGGAGAGTTGGTGTCCGAGAGGATCGAAGTCACGATAGCTCAAGTGGTAGAGCAGCGGCGTATTGAGCCAAAGGTCGTGGGTTCGAATCCCGCGCGTGACACTGACTTTTTTATCCCAGCCAAGACCTTACATAGAAAGAATAATTAATTGAAAGAAGTATAGTTATCATTGAACATCAAAATTACGTTTCTAAAGTTGAATAATTTCTAAATAATAACGAGTGTAAAGAAATAAAAAAAAGATCCCACCTTAAAATTAAAAACTAGAGTTCAAAAAGCCATAAAAAATAGTGACTTTTTATTCTCAGAAAACCCCTCTCTCCCAAAAACCCCAATGTTATACGGTACGGTGAAAATTCATAAGGAAAACAAACCTATAAAACCAATAGTGTCCTTTTATGATTCCCCATGCCATAAACATGCAATTACAATTGATAAAATAATCCAAACTCACACCAATTTCTAACCTACATTCGGTATTAATAATTCTTTAGAATTGATAAAAGAATTAAATTACATCAATATACAACAACTGTGTTTTAGTGTCTTTTGTTACTAATTTATTTACAAATATCCCTGCTGAAAGTTGAAAACAAACTACTGTGGGTAGAAACTATCTTTTTAAAAGGATTGAACACCGCACTCACTCCACTATTCATCATTTCTGTACATTAATTAGTTTCTTAGCATTGAAACGGGAATAATTTCAAGGTGCGAGCATCGTTAATTTCATTGAATATCAACAGCTATTCAAGTGAAATAGTAGGACATAGGCCCAGGTAAGGTATTGTTTTATTATTACATTGTAGGCCTTGGCAGTATATTTTTGAATCAGAACGATGCTCAAATTTGGAAGGGTTTTTTTTCCTACGCAGTCCTTTATTTATTTGGTTTGTTACATGAGATTTATTGTACTGTTTAAAAAAAGAAGAGGAATCGTAACCGGGTCAGATCAAGGTCCGTCCGATTCTCGTGTTCGATTTTCCCCTTTTATTTTTTATTAAAAAAAAAGATTAGCTAGCGGTAAAACCAAATTTAATGATAACGCATCTGGCCATGCAGTAAATTTAAAAATTAAGAAAAAAAAATTCACCGGACTCCCTTTATCCGGAGTTTCTTAAAATAATGAGGAGGAAAAGACATCAGAGCAAAAATAAAATTTCCCTAACAATGTCTTCCTTCCTTGTTTTTGTGAATTTAAAAAGTAAAAAAGGACAAATTTTCGCCAAGAGATTATGCAGTTTACAAACCAATTATCTTAATTTGGAAATGAACTCATAAGTAATCTTTAAAATTGGAGATAACGCGATTTTCCGAGGTCAAAAGACGTTTAAAAACTCTCCAATTGTTGATTTTTAATCAAGGTTCAAACCGGTTAAAATGTAATCGTCCTAATTTTCCTTGGATAATATAGATATATTTTAACTTCACTGGTTTAATCAACTGGTTACGTCGGATATTAAAACGTTATAATTGGTTCGCTTTGAATAATTAAGTACCTGGTTGTTGAGAGGAAGTAGTGCGACTTCATCTTGGTCTATATCAAGGAGTTCCTGACCAATCCTTTTTCCTTTATCGATCTCGCCCATTCCCCAATCCCCTGGAAGGTAGACCATGCCGAGAGCCAGCTTATTTAACCTGGAAACAAAGAAGAAAAAAAATCAATTGTGGCATGTCTTCAACTAAAATTTATTATCCTTAGGTATTGTAGACCTAATGTAATCGGGTTTGACACAATGACACAAGGGTCAATGCGATCCGACAGGCTTTATATTAGCCGGGAGGCCTTGAAATGCCTGGTGAAAATAAAATTGAAAAGGGCACAAAGAGGAAACCGAAATACGTTACAAGATTTTAAATGATTCAACATTGGTAATAAAATCATCTTCCTCCTGCGTTCTTCCTACCTGTTTTTGGGCCGCCTGCCAGAACGGATTTACCTCGAGAATCAATTGTCAAGGCAATTTGAAATCGTATTAGGAATAGGAATAATAAAAGAATTGAGTTTGGCGTTGTACACCAAAACGGCGAGTGGAAAATACTGCGATTGTTCCTACATTGACGTGGAAGATGTTTCGTGTGATTATTTTTAGCTTGACGTCTTTTATTTTCCGTTATCTCATACTTCGCCCTGACGTTTTCCGTACGAAAAAAGTAAACACGACACTTTCTTATATTGCACGATTTTCCGGATTATTCTTAAACCGACTTTTTTCTGAAAAAAAAATTTATCATCGTTCTCAATTCCTATGGGTTTAACTCCGGCTAGACAGCCTTGGATAATAATCGTTATCAAAAACTCTTCAGTATAATTTAAACACATTTGCAATTACTATGTAAATTTTGTTAGTTTAAAAAGACGTTTTATCAACTACATAGTTTATAAAACGTTTTTAACCGGGCAAGTATCAATTTATTCTAGCCAACCTTCGACACATCCTTGCATGAGACAGATTTTCAACAGTTTCCTATTAAACAAAATCAAAATTTCGAAAAGTTTTCAAAATAAAATAACCAATGATGATGAAAAATAAGAAATAACGAAAGAGAGGAGAAAAGTAGTGAGTGATTACGATATTGATTGATTGATTATCACTCGAGGTTTGGTCTCTAGGTCTTACACCTAAAGTGAAATTACTAAATTAAAATTAAATTGTAAGGGTTTTACATTATAAACTTAAGTAACAGTTGTAAAGATACATTATCAACATCTAAACATGACAATCCTAGAACTTAATTGAGGAAAAAAGAAAAAGAGAGAAAAAATCAATATTACAGTTTAATATTTTTACACATATTTTGATATACAATATTTTTTTAAGTTTTTAGAGAGAGAGAGAGAGAGAGAGAGAGAGAGAGAGAGAGAGAGAGAGAGAGAGAGAGAGTATTAGACGGAAAGAGAGTGTTGTTTCAGGGAGAAAGAGAAATAAAAAAAAGAGAGAGACAGAGGAGACAGTGAGATGGAAGAAGAGAAAGGAGGACAAAGAAAGAGAGAGGCAGAGGAGATAGTTAGAGGGAAGGAGAGAAAGGGGGAAAAAGCAAGAGAGCCAGAGGAGACAGTGAGAGGGAAGGAGAGAAAGGAGGACAAAGAAAGAGAGAGACAGAGGAGACAGTGAGAGGGAAGAAGAGAAAGGAGGACAAAGAAAAAGAGAGACAGAGGAGACAGTGAGATGGAAGAAGAGAAAGGAGGACAAAGAAAGAGAGAGACAGAGGAGACAGTGAGCAAAAAATAGATACGACGTGCAGGTAGGGTAGAAAAGAGAAAGAGAAAGAACTCTAGAAAGGGAGAAAGAGTGGGGAAAACTGAAAGAAAGAGAGGAGAGGAAAGAGAGTGATGTATATAAACATATTAACATGTATTTAAATGATGTTATTCGATTACTAAAACAACAGTATTTTATTACTCATAGAATTGTATAAAATTAAAGAATCCAAAAGAAACATAATATATACCTAAAACAATAGAACTGAAAATAGTCAATATTTCAGAGTTATTTCACATCTTCTGTCTTCTTACATGCACTGGTCCATCATATGTTCCAAATTTCCGAAACAAATGAGTATTAATTCATTAATTTAGGAGGCCATGTGGATCTTGCAAATTGCATTTTGTTTTAGATACATATTATGTTTCTTTTGGTTTCTTTAATTATATACAATTCTACGATTAATAAAATACTATTGTTTGAGCAATTGACTAACGCCATTTAACTCAGAGTTAGAAATTGAATTCTGTCTTCTAACATTCACTGGTCCATCATATGTTCCAAATTTACGGAACAAATGAATATTAATTCATTAATTTAGGAGGCCATGAGAACCTTACAAATTGCATACACACAGACCCACTATATATAAACTTAACCGGGCTGTTCTGTGCCATGCCAGAAGTTCTGAATCAGTGGCAGGCCTTCTCGCACATAGTCCAGCTTCTGAAAGTCTTACAGTGCATACTGACAGGAACATCTTTTTGAAGTCATTGTTTGTTATCAACAGCGGTACAAATGTCGATTGCGGAATTCATTCGAAACAATAAAACGATCATCATGTGACACGATGGCGACATCGGACTTTCGAACAGTTGTTCTGTTAATGTTAAGCACTCTGGCCTCATAAACTTGGCTTCTTCCATCTTCCAACATTGATCGTAGCCGAATCTGTACCAGTTAAAACCATCACTCAAACAAATTAGAACCTTAAAAATGGTAAAATAAAAAAAAAATCAAACCACCGGGAGTAGAATGAAACTTTATACAAAATCCAACAAAAAAGAGGTTGACTATTCAAAGATTTATTTACACAAAAATAAAACACACGGTTAACAACTTCTGCTTGGTTTTGACCTCTTGATATCTTTTCTGTTTATATCCATGACTATTAGCCTGTATTCAAACAGCAGAAAGATTAAGGAAGTTTCAGCTAACTGTACACTTACATTAAACTAAGGATTTATTGCCAGGTTTTGAATCTGATACAGACTACTAAAAACGCTATGGCATATATTTTTCACTTGGACGTTCTAACTTAATTTTTCATGCAGTTCTGTACCTTTTACTTTTTCGGCGTATATAATGTCTTCATTTTCTACAATAATTTTTGGAATAGAAGCATTTTTGAGTTGATTAATTCTAGCGTTTCAAATAATTATTGAGAGGGAGAAAGAAAGAAAGAAAGAAAGAGAGAAAGAGAGAGAGAGAGAGAGTGAAGGAAAGAGAGAGTGTGAGAGAAACAGAGATAGACAATGAGAGAAAGGAAGAGTGTGAGACAATGAAAGAGCGAGAGAGAAACAGAGCGTGAGCGAAAGAGAGAGAGAGAGTGAAGGAAAGAGAGAGTGTGAGAGAAACAGAGATAGACAATGAGAGAAAGGAAGAGTGTGAGACAATGAAAGAGCGAGAGAGAAACAGAGCGTGAGCGAAAGAGAGAATTAAACGCTCGAATTAAACATAATTGGAATGTTTGATTTATCTATTAACCAAGATAAATCAAATTGCTGTAGCTTTTTTTCAAATGTATAATCACTGATGCTAAAAACAATTTGGAACTTGAATTACAATGTTTAACGTGTAAAGATCAAATCTCGGTGCTGCACTCTGCGGTTTCGTTTTAAAACACACTTTCTTCTTTTTAGTTTTCTAATGGCTTTGTGTACATTGCATATTAGCCAAAGAACGTAATACATATGCGTATTTTTGGGGGGGGGGCGGTGGAGGGTTGCGTAAAAAAAAGGGGCAGGGGCGACGATGGGAATCGAACCCACGACCGCGGGTGTACGAGCCGAGAGTCTATCACGCTGGCTCTAAAACACCTTCACAGCAATGTATTTTTTTGCATACTAAATTTTGTGACACAAAAAAAGGTAATGGGTGTAAATGCTCAATATTTACATCTCTATTTATGAATATTTTACAGGGTTCATGAAAAAAAAATTAAACCCTGGTGTGCTTTAAATGTGCTAATATTGAAAACCTATCTGACAGATTTTTCCGGGCAATGTAGTTTTATCAAAATTTTATTTATATATTTAGAAATGGCTTTATTAAGAGAAATCTGTTGTAAAAGAGAAATAGTGTTGTTACCTGTATGCAGGGTGTATCGGTTCTGATTCGTGGGAGTCTTTGGTCAAGGAGTGAATCGTTGCGCTTCCTGTTCACATCAAGGAAGGAAGCAATAAAGAACAGGACACGATTTAACTGCCGGTACAAATCGAAGAGAAATCCTATTTTCCGTTGTTTTCTTTTTTTTTAAAAGAGCCTAAAACATGTGATGTGCCAAACTGGCGAAACTGTGCGGCCCGTCTCGTTCTCTCGATCGTTCATTCCTTTCCTATCCGGATTTTGCGGACGGACGTAGATTAAAAAAGAAAAAAAATCAACTAACTTTCCAAATTTAAACTATTTCGAACTTGCGTTTTTACAGCTGAGTCGGCGGGACGGAAACAGCCGCGGCTGGGTGAAAGTGTGCCAGTTCGGACAAAATTGCATTGTGACCCAACGTTTCATAACAATTGCTGACATTTCTCACAAACGTCCTAATGAGAAACGATAAAAAAGGCAACTCGTGCAATGCGAGTCTGTAAACTGTAAGGTATTTTTATTATCTTATCTTTGTCTATCTTTGTATCACTAGGAGGAATTCGTATGAAAACACGTTGAGGAACTTTCGGTCAGCTCTTTCATAATAAAGAACAAAATTATATGAAAAGATCCACCCAAGTCGTGTATTCTATTTTATTTAAACACGATCCTTTATCTTTTTACTGATAGTTTTATAAATGCTTTAAAAATCACAAGGTTAAAAAAACATACTTAAAATTTTGGGCAATTTCCGTTCGTTGGCGTTCGACGCCGACCAGAAAGGTAAATATTTATCCGTCGAAAAATAGCCACGTTCGTCAATAATTCAAACAGAGGGCCCTGTGTTTTGGGCATCAAAAGAGGACCCAGTTAGGGTCGGATAGAAAATAAAACAAGATTTCCTGTTCTGTTTTGTTCGAAGGGGTAAACAGTGTAAAATTCCGTTCGTTGCGACTGTTTTTTTTCTCCATTGAAAAACAATCAACAAACGAAATCTTAAATAGACTGAATGCGTAATAGAAGCGTAAAAATAAGCTTGGTTGTTACATAAAATTCAATAAAATA